AGGCCTGTTCTCCGTTGCTCCCTTTCAGAATGGAATTGCCTCTAAACTTACAGCATTCAAGAAGAATTCTGCTATATTTCAGTGGTCGTTGAAGACAGACACATTATTCTGACTTACTGTGATAGTGTGGTAATTTTTAGATGATCCTGTATAACTAATTATAGGTTTTACATGGAATTGTTATCATTAAAAACCTGGCATCCAACCTTTTAGGACCTCTGTTATTGGGAACGTTTAAAAATTTTTTTTGGTCTATGCTCTTGGGTTTGTTTGGCAAAGTTGTAGAATGCTGAATTTTTTCAGTGTACTGAACTTGGACCATCAACATATTTATAGCATGTTGGGTCTAATGTATGTTGTCACCCTGATATGTTTGCAATTCTTTTAAAAGACAGAGAACTCATGATGGTTTTCACATCAGATTGCTGCTTTACACCATCATAGATTTCTTATAAATGCATAATAGCATTTAGTGGTGATGCTCGATACATTTAATTCTTCAGAATAGATGTTGCAATGCTCCACTGCCTAGGAACATTTGGTGTACTCATTATTTAACAGCATCCTATTCTCCCTTCAACTATTTAATAATGCATGTGTGATTTCGTATAGTCTCTGTAGGATTTGGAGAAGTGAGAATACTTCATTTTATAGATATTCTTGTATGGGTGAGTAACTTGCCTGCTTGTTAAGCTCCATAGGGGAGATAACTCTATGGATATGCCTTTTACTGAAGCTGTTTTTGCATTCTGCCTGGGATCTCTCTCTGAGTTTTGACCTTACTAGTGTTTAAGTTGTCTGGCAGAGTTATTCAGTCCTCAGGTGTGTTGGAATTTTCAACCCTTTGGCAGGTGTGTCCTATTAGTGCCCTTGGGCATTTGGATTGATGTGGCCACGTGTGTAGGAAGCAGCTCACATTTCAGATCCTTGCTGGGATCCTTCCTTGGTGGACCCATCTCTCAGGAGTCATTGGCATTTTAGCTTTCATTTCTACTTTGGTGCAATGAAAGACACAATGTTCTTCATTCATCTTTTTTGCTCCTTCTCCTTTTCTTTCTTATTGGTTTCAAACTGTTGAGGCTATTAGTGCCTTTGGAATAGCTTCTTAAATTATCCATGGAAGTTTTCAGAGAGGAACCCCCTTGAGGCAGAGCTGTCAAGATAAGCTACCTCCTCATTGCTTTTCATCATTTATCTCATGCAGACAGCCACGTCACCAGCAGCGGAACCCAAATTAGACAACCAGGAAAAAGATATGCAGGGCTTGAAGAAAGGGGAGAAAAAGAAAGTAAAATAGAGTTTAGGAAGAACACAAAGGAATTATTTATCAGCCAGATAAAAATGTAGTGGGGTGATTTTATTCACTGTTCTTATTATAAATAGTTTCAGATTTTATTGTAGAATGTAAGCTTGGTGAGAGCAGAGACTGTGTCTGTTTTTTTGACGTGTGTCTTCTTCGGTGCCTGGCACAGTGCCTAGTACTTGTGAGTGCTCAATTTATATTTTAAAAATACATGACTAGCAGTCATGATGTGAGCCTTCATCTGCTGAATGCTTACTCCATGACAAGCTCTGCACTAGACACGCTGCACCTCCTCACACAGGTTAAAATCGTCAACCCGATTTTGGTGAGAGAGATGCTCTGGGAATAAATAGGACAGGAAGAAGCCTGAGAAATTTAATGAGGGAAGAAACCTGGAGTCCTTGTGAACCCAGCGAGCAGGCAGTTATCATCCCAGTTTTAACAAATGCTTAAAACTATGGCCTAGAGAAAGTAGCTATCTCATATATTTTATGTGGGGGCTTCCAGTTTTCCTCCTTTCATTTGCTCACTGTTGTGGGCTGAATATTTGTGGTTCCCCCCACAAAAGCCCTGCCAAATTCATATGTTAAAACCTTAACCCCTAATGTGATGATCTTAGGAGGTGGGGCCTTTGGAGGATGAGTTGGGTCATGAGGGTGGAACCCTTATGAATGGCATTGATGTCTTTATTTTAATTAATTGATTAATTAATAAGATGGAGTTTCGCTCCATCGCACAGGCTGGAGTTCAGTGGCACAACCTCGGCTCACTGCAACCTCCACCTCTGAGGTTCAAACAATTCTCCTGCCTCAGCTTCCTGAGTAGCTGGGACTACAGGCTCCTGCCACTACACCTAGCTAATTTTTGTATTTTCAGTAAAGATGGGGTTTCACCTCATCTCCTGACCTGAGGTGATCCACCCACCTTGGCCTCCCAAAGTGCTGGGATTACAGGTGTGTGTCACTGCGTCTGGCCTGGTGTCTTCATGAAAGTGACCCCAGGTTGCTCTGTAGCCTGCTTCTATCATGGGAGAAAGGACCAATGAGAAGGTAACCATCTGCCAGCCAGGGAGAGGGCCTTCACCAGAACCTTACCATGCTGGTCCCCTGATCTCAGACTTCTAGCACCAAAAATCTGTGTGAAGTAAATTTCTTTTCTTTTTCTTGAGACAAGGTCTCACTCTGTCACCCAGGCTGGTGTGCAGTAGCATGATCATAGCTCACTGTGGCCTTGAACTCCTGGGCTCAGGTGATCCTCCCACTTCAGCCTTCCAAGTAGCTAGGACTACAGGCACATGCTCCTGCACTCAGCTAATTTTTATTTTATTTTTTGTAGAGACAGAGTCTTGCTTTGTTGTGCAGGCTGGTCTTGAACTCCTGGCTTCAAGGGATCCTCCCTGCCTTGTCCTCCCTAAGTCCTGGGATTACAGGCATGAGCCAGAGCGCCTGATGAGAAATAAATTTCTGTTGTTTGTAATCCACCCGGTCTATGGTAATTTCGCATAGCAGTTTCAACTGACTAAGATACTTGCTTTACTGCTTTGCCTGATCTCACTCTTTAAGGAGAAAAGCAAAAGCCGAGCTCATGAATTTTTGCAAGAAAAATAAAGAAACAGAGCAGAATCCTACAATCTTCAGATACAGGTGGGGGCATGTCGAGTAGAGGCCTGCCGGCCTGGGGACCATACAGGACTGGGCACAGCTTAGCAGAGAGGGGCACTGAGGAGGGAGATGGTGGGGACAGGGCAGAGCAGACACCAGAGTGAAACTGATAAGGAAGAAGAAGGAGAGCTTCCAGGGAGTTCGCAAGAGCTACTTTGGCTTAAGTATTTGATCCTTTTAAATGTGTGATAGAGAATTGTGTTAAGACTGAATTTGTAGGGGGAACAATGACTTCTGTCAGTGCTCCATGTCCCTGGTTTGACCGAAGCCTCTAGGATTTCAGGACATTACGGTATATTGAAAGATGTTGTCTCTGTGGCCACAGAAAGTAATCCTGTGTTACTTATTCCATCAGGGTCCCTGCTTCCGGGGTTTCTTCCCTTATTACTTTTCTTCAGGCTTATTCCTGTCCTATTCCCAAGGCATCTGTGTGCCCAAATGTGGGTCAATGGTCAGTGTCTGTTACCCAAGATTTGCTGTCCTTTGGTAAATCATCTGGGGAAGGCACTGGGCTTGAACACTGGTTCTTCCGCTCAACTCTTCTTAAGGGCTGCAAATAAGTTCCTACCCGTTTCACTTTTCCTCCTTTGTAAAGTGTCAGTGATAGCTACTCCTGACCATTTTTAAGGTGCTGTGAGGATCAACTGAGATTAACCTTTAGAAGTGATTAACTTCTATACTCCTTCTTATTTGTATTTTTAATTAATTACTTTTTTTCTGAGATGGAGTCTCACTCACTCCAGCCCAAGCTGGAGTACAATGAAATGATCTTGGTTCACTGCCACCTCCACCTCCCAGGTTCAAGTGATTCCCCTGCCTCAGCCTCCTGAGTTGCTGGGATTACAGGCATGCGCCATCATACCTAGCTAATTTTTCTATTTTTAGTAGAGACAGGGTTTCGCCGTGTTGGCCAGGCTGATCTCAAACTCCTCACCTCAAGTGATCCACCCACCTCAGCCTCCCAAAGTGCTGGGATTACAGGCATGAGTGCCTCGCCCAGCCTAGCTATTGCTGTTCTTATTCTAACTATCTAAAACTCCTTGCCTCTTTCTTCCTAATCAAGTTTTCCCTATCCTTAAAGGCACACCTGGCCTGTCTTCTCTTCCACAAGGTCTTCCTTACTCACCTTTTCCTGCTTACACTGATCTCTCTTCCATCTTTCCCTTATTTTGGCGTGTGATCAAGTACTCCCTGCATATGTGACTTTATTACTCCAGTGTTGGAGTGTCCCATCCCTTCAGCTAGATAGTGAATTTCTTGAGGGCAAAGATCATGCCTTTTGACCTCTTCCAATTGCCCTGTTAAGTTGCTATAAATTTAGACCTTAGATTTTACAGGGCGGCTTCCACTTGTTCAACTTGTTGAAGAAATACATTCTTTTGTTATTCATTCCTGCAAACTGTGATTCCTCTCTCTTGGGTCTGCTTCATGATGTATGCAGCAGTTCTGAAGTCCCAGGCCCTCACTCACTGTTCAGAGACCTCGAAGCAGTTCTCTCCCACTATCTCCCCTTTCTGGGGACTTTTCAGGATGGTTAGTTAGTTCTGTATCCACTCCCGGGTCCCCCTCTTCCTTTTCTTTGCACCCTCCAGTATTAGGAACCTTTTTTTCCTTCCCTTCAGAGTGCAATTGCCCATCTCCAGGTTTCTTTGTTTCTTCCTTTCGTCTCGTTCCCAAGACACCTTTGCTTTGAAGAGGCTGCTGAAAAGGAGTAGATTATTTCATTTTTTATGATCAGCAAAAGAAAAAGAAGGAGGCTTCATGGGGAAAATTGGCAAGATCTAAAGTTATTTGCATTTCATAAGACTCAAAAGTTTTCCAAGCATTTTTTTTTATTTTTTATTTTAAAGGACCTTCAAACATACCAAAAGAAAAAAATTGATTCGATTGTTGAAACACCTGCTGCAGATCTGGGGGCTTTGAATTGAGCGGCTTTAGGTTGGGACCAAGAAATGCTCTGAATTAGAAACTTGCTGGCTCTTACCTTGGCTTGGTAAGCATTTCATCCCTAATGTTCCTCTTTTCTTCCCTTTCAGAATACAGCCGAGCCAAAGCACTTGTCTGCGTGCCCGTGGATGTGACAGACACCTTGAGGTGTTTTAGAGAGACACTGGAAAAATCCAAATACCATAACAGATCAATTCGACACAGCAGAAAGTTGCTTTCATTATTTCTTGCACAGACACAAGGTAAAATGCTTGTTCAGTATCTCTGAATCTTTCTTTATGTGGGGTGACCACCCTGCGGATGTCCCTCTTCTGCCCTCTTGTTCTTGCCTCCCCACCTACGTGCAATGCTCCCTGGAGCCTTTCACTTTCTTCTTGTCTAGTGGATCTAATCTCTATCTTACACTTTAGCCAATGCACTTTCTCACTCACCCACTTTTATGCTTTCTGTGAAACTAGCAAACTCTTTGGAGTACGGTAGATGTCACAATATTCAGTAATTTTTTGATTCCGTACATTTATGTTCTCCTTAGAGTTTTCTTTGAAGGTACGGTGCTACGGTCTTGTTTTACTTCATAAGTAGATGTATTGAGTCATACTGAGTTAACTAGAACCTTTTACAAAAACACTACTTTATCGGTGGCAAAAAAAATGGATACTTTTTTTTTTTTTGAGACGGAGTTTCACTCTTGTTACCCAGGCTGGAGTGCAATGGCGTGATCTCGGCTCACTGCAACCTCCGCCTCCTGGGTTCAAGCAATTCTCCTGCCTCAGCCTCCTGAGGAGCTAGGATTACAGGCACGCGCCACCGTGCACAGCTAGTTTTTTGTTAGAGACGGTATTTCACCATGTTGACCAGGATGGTCTCGATCTCTTGACCTCGTGATCCACCCACCTCAGCCTCCCGAAGTGCTGGAATTACAGGCGTGAAATGGATACATTTTAAAACAAGCATCACCAAGATTTCTTACTAATACTATAGATTTTGATCTTAGGTTTTTTTAGCTCAAAACAACAAGATGTTCACTGTTGTTGGTTGCGTTGCATTTATCTGTTTTCTCTCTTAACACCCATCTGCTTGTGAACTCAAGCAAAGCTGGGCTTTAAGTGATTAAATGGTAACCTCAGAGAAGAGTACATTCAAATTCAGGCTGGAAAAATCCTGAACTGTCTATACTTAAGTTATTTAAAATGTTTTAAAATCCTGTTTTATATTTATGATTCTCGCTATTCAAATTGATCAGAATAATGAGGATAAATACATGTAAAATAGTATAAAGTTATTAAAAATTGATTTAAACTTATACTCAAGATGCTAATTTTCACTGAAATGATCTTTTAGATATTTGACCAGTTTCTTTTTTTACAACCACAGGTGGAGTTTTATTTATTTATGTATTTGTTTGTTGTTGTTGCCCACCCCCACACTTTCTATGATATCTATCCATAGTTTTTGGTTATATTGTCTGCAGACTCACATTATGTTAAATTAGCTCTCCATATCTTGTTTGGCTTCTTCTAATTGCTCCATATATTAGCAGTAAGTAAGGCTGGCTGTGCATGGTGGCTCACACCTGTAATCGCAGCACTTTGGGAGGCCAAGGAGGGTGGATCATTTGATGTCAGGAGTTCAAGACCAGCCTAGCCAACATGGTGAAACGCTGTCTCTACTAAAAATACAAAAATTAGCTGGGTGTGGTGGCATACACCTGTAATTCCAGCTACTTGGGAGAATGAGGCATGAGAATCACTTGAACCTGGGAGGCGGAGGTTGCAGTGAGCCAGATTGTGCCACTACACTCCAGCCTGGTGACAAAGCGAGACTGTCTCAAAACAAAACAAAACAGAAAAGCCACCCCCCACCCCCATAAAATGTGTAAGAGCATAAATAAAAAGGCAAATACAATTCCTAGGAATGGTTTACACCAACTAACTCTGAATCTCACCTGGTACCAAAATATTTTCAGTAGTTTATTTTTAGTCCTCTGGCTGTGGACTTCAAAATCTATACTAGCTTCTTTCTCTGTTACTTTTAATTACTTCCCCTAGAATATCGATTATTTTCCCTGTGTGTTCTATGATCTTATAGACATGTTTCTGCGCCGCCCCCCGTTTTGTTTTGTCTCAGGCCAGAACTACCTGTGTGTTGCTTCTATCCCAGAGGTGTCTGCCCCAGAGGCACACTGACACCTTACTGTTGGAAGCTATTTAAAAAAGGCAAACTCAAACTAACTTCCACCAGTCCCCACAAGAAGCAAAGCATTATTTTAATATTTGCTTTCTATCTGACTGTCCTCTGTAGTGCTTTTTTTTTTTCTGAGATGGAGTCTTGCTCTGTTGCCCAGGCTGGAGTACAATGGCACAATCTCTGAACACTGCAACCTCTGTCTTCTGGGATCAAATGATTCTCCTGACTCAGCTTCCCGAGTAGCTGGGACTACAGACATGCGCCACCACACATGGCTAATTTTTGTATTTTTAGTAGAGATGGGATTTTACCATGTTGGCCAGGCTGATCTTGAACTCCTGACCTCAGGTGATCTGTCCGCCTCAGCCTCTCAAAGTGCTGGGATTAATAGGCATGAGCCACTGTGCTCAGCCGCTCTGTAGTGCTTTTGATGAAATAATACAGACATGGAGCTTATCCACACGTACCTAGGATCTTCAAACATGACCCTGGATACTAAGTTTAAGGAAATAGTGTACCTCAAACTGCAAAAATGTCTCAGCTGTATACAAAATATTTCCTTCTTTTTCGCTTTCCATGTTCTTCTTTACCTTCCCCCGCAACTTCCTTTTTTTCTACATTTTAAATTTATTTATTATTATTGTTTTTCGTGAATTTAGGGGAGAGAGGAGGAATAAACAATTCCACATGTACTTCTGGAAGGGTGGAATTTTGCCTGGGGACAGAGGAGATGCATATGTCAATACCCCCTGACCTTTCTCAGGAGCACTTCAGGGTTTTTAGTTCCGTGGAGAAAAGCAAACTTCCATATTCACAACTTGGACTCGTAATTTCTTCTTATCACCAGACTATTGGTAAGAGTTATCCATTATGCATTCATTTTCTTTAATTTTTTTTTTGTTGTTGTTGGAACATTTTGCTTTTCTTTTTTTCTATTTTTTATTTTTTATTGCATTTTAGGTTTTGGGGTACATGTGCAGAGCATGCAATACAGTTGCATAGGTACACACATGGCAGTGTGTTTTGTTTGCTTTCTCCCCTTCACCCACATTTGGCATTTCTCTCCAGGCTATCCCTCCCCACCTCCCCCTCCCACTGGCCCTCCCCGTTTCCCCCAAATAGACCCCAGTGTTTAGTACTCCCCTCTCTCTGTCCATGTGTTCTCATTTTTTATCACCCACCTATGAGTGAGAATATGCGGTGTTTCATTTTCTGTTCTTGTGTCAGTTTGCTGAGAATGATGTTCTCCAGATTCATCGATGTCCCTACAAACGACACGAACTCATCATTTCTGATTGCTGCATAATATTCCATGGTGTATATGTGCCACATTTTCCCAATCCAGTCTATCATCAATGGGCATTTGGGTTGATTCCAGGTCTTTGCTATTGTAAACAGTGCTGCAATGAACATTCGTGTGCATGTGTCCTTATAGTAGAACGATTTATAGTCCTTTGGATATATACCCAGTAATGGGATTGCTGGGTCAAATGGAATTTCTATTTCTAAGGCCTTGAGGAATCGCCACACTGTCTTCCACAATGGTTGAACTAATTTACACTCCCACCAACAGTGTAAAAGTGTTCCTTTTTTTCCACATCCTCTCCAGCATCTGTTGTCTCCAGATTTTTTAATGATCGCCATTCTGACTGGCGTGAGATGGTATCTCAATGTGGTTTTGATTTGCATCTCTCTGATGACCAGTGACGATGAGCATTTTTTCATATGATTGTTGGCCTCATATATGTCTTCTTTCATAAAGTGTCTGTTCATATCCTTTTCCCACTTTTGAATGGGCTTGTTTGTTTTTTTCCTGTAAATCTGTTTGAGTTCTTAGTAAATTCTGGATATCAGCCCTTTGTCAGATGGGTAAACTGCAAAAATTTTTTCCCATTCTGTTGGTTGCCGATTCACTCTAGAGACTGTTTCTTTTGCTGTGCAGAAGCTGTGGAGTTTCATTAGGTCCCATTTGTCTATTTTGGCTTTTGTTGCCAATGCTTTTGGTGTTTTGTTCATGAAGTCCTTGCCTACTCCTATGTCCTGGATAGTTTTGCCTAGATTTCCTTCTAGGGTTTTTATGGTGCCAGGTCTTATGTTTAAGTCTTTAATCCATCTGGAGTTAATTTTGGTGTAAGGTGTCAGGAAGGGGTCCAGTTTCTGCTTTCTGCACATGGCTAGCCAGTTTTCCCAGCACCATTTGTTGAACAGGGAATCCTTTCCCCATTGCTTGTTTTTGTTGGGTTTATCAAAGATTGTATGGTTGTAGATATGTTGTGTTGCCTCTGATGCCTCTGTTCTGTTCCATTGGTCTATATCTCTGTTTTGGTACCAGTACCATGCTGTTTTGATTACTGTAGCCTTGTAGTATAGTTTGAAATCTGGTAGTGTGATGCCCCCCACTGTGTTCTTTTTGCTTAGAATTGACTTGGCTATGTGGGCTCTCTTTTGGTCCATATGAATTTCATGGTGGTTTTTTCCAGTTCTGTGAAGAAAGTCAATGGTAGCTTGATGTGTATAGCATTGATTTTGTAAATTACTTTGGGCAGTATAGCCATTTTTACGATATTAATTCTTCCTAGCCATGAACATGGAATGTTTCTCCATCTGTTTGTGTCCTCTCTGATTTGGTTGAGCAGTGGTTTGTAGTTCTCCTTGAAGAGGTCCCTTACGTTCCTTGTGAGTTGTATTCCAAGGTATTTTATTCTTTTTGTAGCAATTGTGAATGGCAGTTCGTTCTTGATTTGGCTCTCTTTAAGTCTGTTATTGGTGTAGAGGAATGCTTGTGATTTTTGCACATTGATTTTATATCCTGAGACTTTGCTGAAGTTGCTTATCAGTTTCAGGAGTTTTTGGGCTGAGGCAATGGGGTCTTCTAGGTATACTATCATGTCGTCTGCAAATAGAGACAATTTGGCTTCCACCTTTCCTATTTGAATACCCTTTATTTCTTTTTCTTGCCTGATTGCTGTGGCTAGAACTTCCAGTACTATATTGAATAGGAGTGGTGACAGAGGGCATCCTTGTCTAGTGCCGGATTTCAAAGGGAATGCTTCCAGTTTTTGCCCATTAAGTATGATATTGGCTGTTGGTTTGTCATAAATAGCTTTTATTGCTTTGAGATACGTTCCACTGATACCGAGTTTATTGAGGGGTTTTAGCATAAAGGGCTGTTGAATTTTGTCAAATGCCTTCTCTGCATCAATTGAGATAATCATGTGGTTCTTGTTTTTGGTTCTGTTTATGTGGTGAATTATGTTGATAGACTTGCGTATGTTGAACCAGCCTTGCATCCACGGGATGAATCCTACTTGATCATGATGAATAAGTTTTTTGATGTGCTGTTGCAATCGGCTTGCCAATATTTTATTGAAGATTTTTGCATCTATGTTCATCATGGATATTGGCCTGAAGTTTTTTTTTCTTGTTGGGTCTCTGCCGGGTTTTGGTATCAGGATGATATTGGTCTCATAGAATGATTTGGGAAGGATTCCTTCTTTTTGGATTATTTGGAATAGTTTCAGAAGGAATAGTACCAGCCCCTCTTTGTGTGTCTGGTAGAATTCGGCTGTGAACCCGTCTGGACCTGGGCTTTTTGTGTGTGGTAGGCTCTTAATTGCTGCCTCGACTTCTGCCCTTGTTATTGGTCTATTCATAGTTTCAGCTTCCTCCTGGTTTAGGCTTGGGAGGACACCGGAGTCCAGGAATTTATCCATTTCTTCCAGGTTTACTAGTTTATGTGCATAGAGTTGTTTGTAATATTCTCTGGTGATGGTTTGAATTTCTGTGGAATCTGTGGTGATTTCCCCTTTATCATTTTTTTATTACATCTATTTGGTTGTTCTCTCTTTTCTTTTTAATCAATCTGGCTAGTGGTCTGTCAATTTTGTTGATCTTTTCAAAAAACCAGCTCTTGGATTTATTGATTTTTTTGGAGGGTTTTTGGTGTCTCAGTCTCCTTCAGTTCAGCTCTGATCTTTGTTATTTCTTGTCTTCTGCTGGGTTTTGAGTTTTTTTGATCTTGCTCCTCTAGCTCTTTCAATTTTGACGATAGGGTGTCAATTTTGGATCTCTCCATTCTTCTCGTATGGGCACTTAATGCTATATACTTTCCTCTAGAGACTGCTTTAAATGTGTCCCAGAGATTCTGGTATGTTGTGTCTTCGTTCTCATTGGTTTCGAAGAACTTCTTTATAAAAATTTTTTTTTTTTTGAGGCAAGGTCTCATTTTGTCATGCAGGCTAGAGTGTAGTGATGTGATCATGGCTCACTGCAGCCTCAACCTTCTTGGCTCAATCCATCCTCCCACTTCAGTTTCCTGAGCAGCTGGGATCACAGGCTCACACCACCATGCCTGATGAATTTTTACATTTTTTTGTAGAGATAGAGTTTCACCCTGTTTCCCAGACTAATCTTGAACTCTTGGGTGCAAGCTCTATAAGCCCTCCTCTGCCTCCCAAAGTGCTGGTACAGGAGTGAGCCACTGCACCCAGCCGTGTTTTCTGCATTAATGCTGAGATTGCATCTGGTCCTGAAAATTTAATTTTCAGGATTTTCAATATGATCTTCTGCATTAATGCTATGATTGCATCTGGTTCTGAAATTTTACCTTTAAAAGAAAGATGAAAGAACCTATACCCTTGTAGCAGTGACAGAACAGTCTGGAGACAGAGGAAGCTTCCAGCCTCCTCCCTTCACCCGTTTTCTTAGCTTGGCCGTCACTATTGTGAGATTCTAGGCCACCCTTCTATTTATCCCTCTTTAACTGGAGCTGTGAACCCCTTGTAGGGATGGAGATGATGTTCTTTTTTTTTTTTTTTTTCTGCTCCCAGCTGATTCAATTTTCCTTGTCTTTCCCTTGATTTGGCTTTTCTACAGATTCAGTAGTATATTCTCAACCTACATGAAAGACCCAATGTCTTCTTTTTTTCTAGCAGACATTTTATAATGCCCCTTTCACTTCCTGAAATAAAATTTATTTTTAATGTATTCTTATACACATTATTTTGAAAACAATTATTATGAAGCTCTAAATATAAAAATGCGGAGAAATAAAACAGCATCACTTTATAATAAAAGAATCAGTTTGTTAGTATGTAAATGCTCAGGCATTAGAAGCTGTAAAGAAATGGTCAGACGCTCATATCCTGGATATGGAACCACCATGAATGTGACAGCTGCCCATGCAGGCAGAGACAGGTATGTTGTATTGGTGACTCAAATACTATCAACATTATTAAGTTTTGTGACATGATTTTCTAAAATGGCAAATAAATCTTGGTAAAGTCCTGAACAAAACAAAGTACTACAGTAGTTGCATGTCTGGAAAATTCAGAAATCATGGACATTTATAAATCATGCAGAAATACCTTTCCTTTATATATAGAAAACGAAGTTTGATGTGAGATTCAGATAGTTATAAACAGACTTCTGATCTTTTCCTTCACTGTGGGGGAAGTTTCTGTGCCTTGCAGGCCATCTGACATCTTTAGTCTTAACCTATGAATTACTAAGTCTTAACCTATGAATTACTTTAGTCTTAACCTATGAATTACTAAGAGATGCCCCCGTTGTGACAAACCCTTTCTTGTTTTTCTAAAATACCCTCTAGGGGACAGTGTTGTTCTCTTTAGAAACCCCTGCCATGTTGGTTGGGGTTTTTGGCTACAAATCCCAGAATGCATGAATTCATTAGAAAAAAAATTATGTGATTTTCTTGTTTTGTTTTGTTTCGTTTTTGAGATGGTTTTGCTTTGTTGCCTAGGCTGGAGTGCAATGGCATGATCTTGGCTCACTGGAGCCTCTGCCTCCCAGATTCAAGTAATTCTCCTGCCTCAGCCTCCAAAGTAGCTGGGATTACAGGAGTGCACCACCACACCTGGCTAATTTTTGTATTTTTAGTAGAGACGGGGTTTCAATATGTTGACCAGGCTGCTCTCGAACTCCTGACCTCAGGTGATCTGCCTGCCTTGGCCTCCCAAAGTGCTGGGATTATAGGCATGAGCTACCTTGCCTGGCCAATTATGTGATATTAAAGATACATTTTCTGCCTTTAGGTAAAAGGAGAAATCTGATATATGGTGATATTGTCACATGTCTGCTAAAAAAGCAAACCCTTTGAGCCTTCCCATCTGCTATAGGTTACCATCCACATTTCTCCAAGTGGCAGTCAGAGGTCCACAGAACCTGACCGCTACCTCCCTCTTTAGACTCAGTTCACCCTCTTCAGAAAACCATACTGCAGTCATACCCATCATTCCTATACATACTCAGCCATTTTCCCTTACATGCCTTGCCAAAGTTTCTCTTCTCCTGTGTCTACCTGTCTGACTTTTATTTTACTTTTCCACGAAGCCTCATTATTACTATCTGTTAGAGCCAATCTTTCACTCTGTAATCAAAAAGAACGTTTGCTCACTCTCTGTGTATATATATCGTGTGACATTTGAAGGTGCTATTGCAGTTTGCTTATTGCAATCTACACAGTTAAGGAACAGTGCAGTTTAAAATATTCTTGCAAATATAACAAAATATTTTTCTAGGAACTGACATTTGTTCTTTTACTTTATTAAAAATATAGATGTTCTCCAAGCCAGTAATCAAAGAAGTCTTAAAGTTCAGGCGTTGCATTCACTTGGAAGTCTTCTCATCTTTGCAGAAAAGAAAAGGTAGATTTTTAGAAGTCTGTAGAACAAGGGCAAAATTGTTTTATTTGCTTGTTTGAAAAAGTTTTTAATGATTATGAAAAAACATTGTCTTTCATGAATGTTCTTCAGCAATACTACATCGCTACATTTTATTCATCAAATGCTACCTCAGAGAAACCATTGAGAATGGTGTATGTGTGTACAGTTATACGTATGTTAATTGATGTTGCTTCTGTGTGTTTGCTTTCCCTTCTGGAAGATAGATTTAATAGCAGGTCTCAGAAAATGTACTCCTTGACTCTTTATCTCTGTTTTAGGGCTGCTTTTAAGTGTTGGTGTCAAGCTCTTGATGACATATTCAGAAAACCAGACGTGCTGCACACATGGAAAGAGTTTGGCCCCTCACTCACCAATGTCACCGACAGCCATTCACCTCTGGGTTTCAAAGACTACAGTGAGGAGTTTCTGTCAAAAGTTGGCATCTGGGGGTGTTTGCAAGGAGCAGTCATATCAGCCAAGATAGCACAGTGAGTGTGAGGATGGAAGGATGTGTGTACTAGCTAACAGCTTCCTTGCAGGGTGCCCTTCTCGTGTCATGAAAAGTGCTGTGCCTCACGCACACTGGATTTCTGGGAGATTATGTCTGTATCATACAGGGCCTTACACTTTATTTACTTATTTGTGATGTTTATTGCTTGTAATTATCTCCTTTTCCTGTAACACGACGCTTGCCCCAAATATCAGTGTCACCTGGGCCCAGGTGTTTGCCTTGCTCACTGATGGATCCCAAGTGCCAGGCATGTAGCTGGCATTCAGTAACTACTTGTGTTGTTGTTTTTTTTGAGATGGAGTCACGCTCTGTCACCCAGGCTGGAGTACAGTGGCTCCATCTCAGCTCACTGTGACCTCCTTCTTCTGGGTTCAAGAGATTTTTCTGCCTCAGCCTCCTGAGTAGCTGGGATTACAGGTGCCCACCACCATGCCCAGCTAATTCTTTTGTATTTTTAGTAGTAACAGGGTTTCACCATGTTGGCTAGGCTGGTCTGGAACTCTTGGCTTCCAGTGATCTGCCCACCTCACCTTCCCAAAGTGCTGGGATTATAGGTGTGAGCACCCGCGTCTGGCTCAACAACTACTTGCTGCGGTTTCAAATGAATGAGCAGTTTGTGTGGGAGCAAGAAAACAATGTGGAGGCAGTCAGGCATGGGCCTCATCCAAGAGTATACTAGAATCCAGTTACTTTCAACAAGTTTCACTTTCCTTCTGAGCCTCAGTGTCCTCATCTCTAAGCCAGGGTGGTAAAAATTACATGATATACTGTATCAATTTCCTGGGGTGGTCATAATGAATCACCACAGGCTGGGTGACTTAAACAACAGAACTTTGTTATCTCATGATTCTGAAGGCTGGAATTTGGAGAACAAGGTGTTGGTGAATTGGTTTCTTCTGAAGCCTCTCTTCTTGGTTTCGACACAGGGAAGACCACTGTGTCCACATGTGGTCTTTCCTCGGCATGTCAATGTCCTCATCTCCTTCTTATAAGGACACCAGTCATATTGGATTAGGGCCCACGTCTGTGGCCTGATTTTAACTTAGTTACTTACCTCTTTAAATGCCCTGTCTCCAAATATGGTCACAATCCAAGATTAGTGGGTGTGTTAGGCTGTTCATGCTTTGCTACAAAGAAATACCCAAGACTGAATAGTTTATAAAGAAAAGATGTTTAATTGGTTTGTGATTCTGCATGGTCCCAGCATCTGCTGAGTTTCTGGTGAGGCCTCAGGAAGCTTTCAATATGGCAGAAGGTTATATTTGAATATGGGAGCCTGCATCTCATATGGCAATAATGGGAGTGGGAGAGAGTGGGAGGTGCCACACTCTTTTACACAACCAGATGTGATGTGAACTCACTCATCACCAAGGGGATGGCACTAAGCCAATCATGAGGGATCCATTCCCCCCCTCCCAATCCTAACACCTCCTGCCAGGCCCCATCTCCAATACTGGGGATTACAGTTTAGCGTGAGATTTGGTGGGGACTTGTATTCAAACTGTGTCACTGAGAGTTAGGACTTCAACATAGGAATTGCTAGGGGAAACAATTTAGCCCATAACACATACTATATTAGTGTCCTTTTTGTTGCTATAACAAATTACCCTAAACCTAATAGCTTAAAACAAAACAGATTTATTATTTTACAGTTATAGAATTCAGAAATCATAAAATCAGTGTGTCAGCAAGGCTATGCTTCTCTGGAGGTTCTTGGGGGTAAGCCGATTTCTTATCTCTTCCAGATTCTTGAGGCTTCCTGCATTCCTTGGCTCATGGCCTCATCTTCTATCTTCAAGACCAATAGCTTAACACCTTTCCCCCACCCCCACCCCCTCTGTCTGTCTCTCACATCTTCTTCCATCCTCATGTCTCCTTCTCTGACCCTGACCCTCCTGCCCTTCTCTTACAAGGGCTGCCTTGACAAGCCAGGATAGTCTTCCCTATCTCAATGGCCTTAATTTAATCACATCTGCAAAGTCTTTGTTGCCCTTGTAAGGTCACATATTCATAGGTTCTAGAGATTAGATGATGAATATCTTTGGAAGACCATTATTTAGCCTACCACACATAACACAGGTGAATGTCTTTAACAATGGCTTATGCACAGCTAGCAATCACAAATATCTTAAGTGTTTGATTAACATGAAAAACTTGAAAAGTATGGAGGGAATAGAGGTATAGGTTTCCTTCACCTCTCCAGTTGCTCTTTTAGCTTGCCTGTCGGAGGTGGTGGGCAACAACCTGCATAGTTTTAAGCTGTAGGGCACACTTAACAAAACTTGGCTGTTCCTAGGAAGTGATCACATTGCTTTCAGATTAGCCTCTTCAGTCGGGGTAGTAAGAAAGTACTGCTTTAAACGTATTAAACATCAAAGATTTAGACCTCTGTCAAGTTTGATTTTTCTGTGCTCTGGGATAAAGCGCGCGTGCACACACACACGCGCGCACACACACACGCACACACACACACGCGCACGCACACACGCACACACACACGCACACACACACACGCACACACACTCCCGAAACAAAGTCTGTGCTTGCTTATGACTTAGTGGAGCTTGGCAATTGGGAATGGAGAAGCCAAGGAAAGTTCACAGCTTGGAAAGGAACAGCACAGCCTTTCTGCCAGAGGCACCTCAGCTTCTCTGAGCCTCTGAAGTTATTACCTAGTGATTTTCAACAAACAGAAAGTCATTTCCTGGTTACCCAGCTGGAAGTCTGACTGCCATAGGAGATGTGATTCTATAGGGGCTTTGGCTATTTTCCTAGACTCCCTGAATAGAGGAAACTCTTCTCCCCCTCTGTAAAATACCACACTTGAAGATCCACACAGTGAAGCTGAACTGAGATAGACATTTTTATTAATGTAGTGGACCCGATTGGTTTTATCTAAGAAAGACTTAGGATAAGGTAACGTGTTTTGTAGTTGCGAATGTGAATTGTAAGACTCATCAATATAGAGAACTCAAACTCTCCTTCTAAGGGACCTAAAATGAAAGAGTTGTAAATGGAGAGATAATTAATCTTTGGTGGAGATACTTAATGTTGTGAAAGGCACCATAATAAACAGCTAGAGAGAAAATACAATGCTTCAGTCTTCAGGGGGAGTTCTTTAACTGTGCTCATCAAAAACCTTTTCTGTGCACCTCCTTTTACCAAAAATTTCCACCTCCATGGGTTCATTCATTGGAACAAATAGGATAAGTGTTCAAAAGTGTGGGCATAACAGTGTTTACCTCAGCATTGGAAAAAGCCAAAGTTGAGATTCGTATTTTTATGTTATGGCACATTCGTATGATAAAACATTGAAGTTCTTTAGAAGAATAATACAGTTCATTATGTGTGTGAATGAAAAATTTGTTTATAAAGTAGTGTGTATTGCATAATTCTAGTCTTAATCTGTGTGTATTTGTTTCTACACGTGTATAATTATATACAGAAAAAAAACATGTATAAGAAAATTGACTAGAATATTACCAGTAATCATGTTTAGGCAGTAGGATTACAGGGGAATTTTATCTTCTTTAATATATTTTCCTTCTGTTTTCTTATATATTTATATGTTTTTCTTATGCTTTTTGTGTTCTAGATATGTATGTAAAGGTACAGTTATGTCAAAATGTTTTTGGAAATTTTCTACTAATCAGTTTATTTTTCTTATACTCAGATTTATTCAGTCGTTGAATGTTGAAAAGAGAACCGACTGTTGCATTTTGTCCGCATTACTCTTTCAGGTGACGTTTTATGTTTGTATGTTTTTCCATGGTAGCCCAACCATTCATCGGATCAGTAAAAACGTTTATCATATTCAGAAAGCTCACAGGTAGCAAAATAGCATGGATCTTGATGAAATATCACAACCCCATCTTTCTCTTGCTGGCTGAACCACAGTGGGACTTTCATCATGAATTTTCTTTTCTTTTTTTTGAGACTGAGCCTCACTCTGTTGCCTAGGCTGGAGTGTAGTGGTGCCATCTCAGCTCACTGAAGCTACTGCCTCCCAGGTTCAAGCAATTCTCATGCCTCAGCCTCTCGAGTGACTGGGACTACAGGTGTGCACCACCACACCCTGCTAATTTCTTGTATTTTAGTAGAGATAGGGTTTCACCATGTTGACCAGGTTGATCTTGAACTCCTGACCTCAGGTGATCTAGCTGTCTTGGCCTCCCAAAGTGCTGGGATTATAGGTGTGAGCCACCACGCCTGGTGCACTGTTAATATTTAACAGTGTCAGTTTTCTCCTGTAGACTACAGAAGAAGGAATTTTACAGATGGGGAAACGGAGTCTCCTGTCATTAGTAAGATCATGTTACTAGTAGTCAGTTTGAAGCCAGTCTGTTTGATTTCAAATAGTTGCCTTAGGTTACCTCATTTCTAAATTCAGTTTTGCTTGGTTATATGATATAAAATCTATCTTAGGATGAAGGTGGAAAATAACTTGAAGACTGCAGGAGAGGTATGCTTACAGTTTTCAGAATTTTGGTTTGACTTCACTGAAGAAGAAAGAAGCTTTTATCGGAAATACAAGATATTTGAAATTCTGAAAATTAACCAGGGGACTTTGGAATCTACTAAAGGTTTTATTTACGTTGAAGGATGGGTACTCTTGTTCTGTATATCAGCGAAGTCTGGTAGCTTATAAAATCTAAATAAGCGAGTTCTTCGGGAAGAACTTTCTGAATTAAGACCAGACTTTTCAATTTTCTTATGTTCCTTCTATCTCTTGCCCAGGCTTCAAAGGGAAGAAGTAGAAGAGGCAAGGGTATAAACTCTGACTTCCTGCATCGAGTTCTTTACTTTCTAATACTCCTTGTTCTTGAAGATGTTTATATTTTAGAAAATAAGCGTTTTAATAAATATTTAACTTTTTGCTTAATGTGGACAATAATGTATTATTAGTTTCTTAGTAATATTATACCTAAAATAAAAATTAGCTAGTGGGATTTATTTTAAAACCTTATTCTTTTTATGATTTTAAAACAAATTTATGTCAGTAAAAATTTCAACAACTACAAAGTATTTTAGAGTAGGATATTTCATGACCTTAATAAGCTGTTGGATTTAAATTCTTTCTAAGATGTACATTTAAATTCTTTCTAATATGTACATTAAAATAATTTCATAATGCATTTGTCCTTAAGAAATTGTAATTGTTAAGATAACAAAAGAAGCACCCTTTAATGTAAAATTTGGTTTTGTGTACCCATCTTGTTTCCCCAACATCTAGTGTAATGTGGGTTACATAGATTACCAAAAAATATTGATCAAATTAAAGATTAAACAAAATCTTTTCATTTAAGCAGTTAAAAGTTCAAATTACCTCTGCCGGATTTAGACTTCTGAAACAAGTAGTCATTCTTCTACTTACAGCTTGGTATAGTGGAAAGAACATAGATTTTTTTAGCTAAAAAGGCGTGACTTTGAATCTCCTTTCTGCCATCATTAGCTATGTGACTTCAGATGAGTTGTTTAAGCCTCAGTTATATCATTTGTGAGATAATAATCCTTCCTTCTAAGAGTAGGTTAAACTAACATTAAATGAAATAATGTTTATAAAGAATTTACCAGCAGTACTTAACATAGAATTGACCCTCAACAAAAGATAATTTAATATAATGATAATTTCTTTGAAAATAATAAGTATCCAACTACTATGGAATTTTAAAAGCCCATCTGGAGTGATAAAAGCATTTGGAACCTGTAATGTTGATAATATAAATAAGTACCATTTATTACAAAGTACAGTGTGCTAGGCATTCACTAAGCATTTTAGAAAGCATACATGTATTTATCTTTTTGCTTCATTATTGAAAATGGAATCTATAGCTTTTTATTTCACTTTTTTTTTTTCCATTTTCAGGGTTTGCTTAGAACCACACTTCCACATCCCAAAGCGGAACGTTGCTATGCTCAATATGAAATCACTCAACTTCTCCCAGGCATCGAACTCTTCTCAGATAGATACAGGGCTGACATTTGCTCTGTAGTTGCAAGTCTGTATTACATTATACGTGAACTGCACTTTGTTAGGCAAAACCTAATAGTAAGTAATTTGTAAAATCAACACATATTTATCACTGGGATATTTTGCTCCTCTCACCTCATACTTTTCAAATTTTGCTAATGTTATTTTGGTCAATTACTATTTAATTTTTAAACTTTATGTATGTAGGATTCTTACACTTCAAACTAAAATGTAAATTTAATATTCTTTCTTTGCATTTTGGATACAAAAGCAGTCAATTTGATTTTTTCTCCTTTTACTGTGTTACTTTATATTTTTTTTTCTCAAGATGGTTGGTGAAATTGATCAGAATGCATCACTGATCTCAAACACAGAAGTCTAGTGTACTTGGAACCCACTGCATTAAGTTGTTCAGGTTATATCAATCCCAAAACTGTGAGAGTGGTTCTTTATTGAGATAAGTTTATCTTTATGTGTCTTGTATTTTCTCTGTCAAAGGTGCCTCTAAGAGAAAAATAGATTCTAAGTAGATAAAAGACAGACATTTCTTAATGTCCTAGGAAATAAAAAAATCCAAATACAGCTCCTTTGCTTTGAGGAAAGAAATCACAGTATAGGTCATAAATTTGAAGCTGGTTGCATTAAAAAAAACTAGTATGTTCTATTAGAATTGTTGTTCATTTTATATTTTCCTCCACTATTTTGTCCTTTTTCTTTCTTGTTTTTTTTTTTTTTTTTTTTTTTTTTTGAGACGGAGTTTTGCTCTTGTTAACCAGGCTGGCGTGCAATGGCGTGATCTCGGCTCACCGCAACCTCCGCCTCCTGGGTTCAGACAATTCTCCTGCCTCAGCCTCCTGAGTAGCTGGGATTATGGGCATGGGCCGCCATGCCCAGCTAATTTTTGTATTTTTAGTAGAGATGGGGTTTCACCATGTTGACCAGGATGGTCTCAATCTCTTGACCTCGTGATCCACCCGCCTCGGCCTCCCAAAGTGCTGGGATTATAGCGTGAGCCACCGCGCCCGGCCCTTTTTTCTTTCTATATGTTTTTCCCTCTATTATTTTGTATCTCCTTTCCCCCTTTGCTTCTTTACATCTATTCTTTCTCCTTTTCTGCTTCTTTCCCTTTCCTCCACGATTTTCATACCTACTTACTTCCCCCCCCATATGTTGTTTTCTATTCTCTTGGCATATTTGTTCTTCCAAATTCAGATCATTATTTGTTCCTCCAAATTCAGATCTCTCTTTAAATTGAAAATATTTATTGCTCCCTGATATGAACTGATAACTTATAAAACCATGTATTAAAGTAAAGAGACTGATAAGTGCATTTAACACTTGGCAGACTTGGTGAGAAATTGTCTATTTTAAAAAAATAACAAAATGGTGCTCCTCTCACTGTTAAAGGGATTCATTTCTGGGTTGGAGAAATAGTTCCATCCCCTGGGTAACCTTTAGCTGCCTAGTCATATTCATATATAATACATATCACTGTGCTGGAAAACAAATGAGGTTTTTTTCCCTCTAAAGCTGAAGAAATTGAGAATGTTTTTCTGAATAATTGAGTAATTGGCAGCAATAAAATGGTATGTTTTTATTTCTCACTAAAGAAAAGAAACAATCTCAAAGGTAATCGCCAATTCTTAATGTTTTGTGCTACATTAATTGTGGAAAAAGGTATTGTGTTATGTTCGTAGGGCATAATTATAGAAAAATGTATTGTATTATGTTTGAAATCATTTAAGACCAGTTCTAATCTTTTTAAAAAGCTGTTGCTATTAGCAGCTGCCAGTTGACTGACAATTAGAGGTTCCCCAGCTGAAATTGCAAGAAGTAAACAATTTCCATTTTGTATTACATTAACCTTCTCCACAAGAAGCCCAGTGGCTAAGGGGACTTCCATCGAATATAAAATTTGCTCTGTGACCCAGAGCTGTGGAGCTATAGAAAGTAATTTGCTAACTAATGGGGATCCCAGTCTCCTTTCTACTCCATTTTCCTTTGGCAGGGCAGGCTACAGTTGCAGGAACTGAGCTTCCAGTTTGACTTGAGATCAGGAGCTGTTCCAAAGTTAGGCAAAACTGTCCTCGCCACATCTTTCTCGGGATGGATCATGTTGGGCCAACTGAAATATTGATCGTCTATAAGACTTCACATATATCCATGAAACTTCAAGAGCAATTGAACTTTGGGGTGAAATTCTAGGAAAATAAAAATGTTATGTGAAGAGTAAGCTTGGGTTTTAATTGGTAGAAAATATGCTATGTGAAGGCAGGAATTTGTTACATTTTGTTCTCATTCAACAGTGCCTAACACATGATAGGCATGTTATACATATTTTTTGTTGGTAGAAAAATTCTAGTTGAAGACAAAAAGCAGCTGGCATTGAAACAAATGTGTAGGATCCAGTTGGGGGCATAGATTGACTTTCTTTGCTTTACATTTTACAGTTACTTGGTAGCTCATTTGCTAGAATTTTTCCACAGGCCACAGTATTCATATGTTTATGTTGAGTTAATTCTTTTCAAGGAAGATAATTGATTGGATTTTAACCTCTTCTTGCTTAAAGAGATGAGCAGCCTAGGTTTGGGGTACCAAATGGCATCTACTGGGAACTGTGAATCTCTGATAGCTTCTTAAAGTTCTGATAAACTTAATGAAGCATGTGCTAGATAGAGCATTTCACTTATATCTAACAGTATGAAAGTAAGTCAATATGTAACATATCCTATATTTAATATTTGGCTAAATTTGATTATTAGGTTATTACTTTGATAAAATATATAACAAAGAGTGTTTTTCTTTTCATAGGTTCTGCCTCTCCTTGCATTGTACCAATATTTTGTTTCTGGAATTTGTCAAGACTTAATCAGAAATCTAGAAGCAAGAATCCTCAAGGTATGTTACAAGCTTTTAAGACATTTGATATTCTTGAACTATTAAGGATATTGTCATGTGTTAGTTTGATTCGGGGACTCATAATAACACACTGATAATAACATGGCATTATACTGATATAAGAAATAACTTGCCCATTATTATAATAAAGTATGAGAAAGAGCCAGTTAGTAAAGTATAGATTATTTTATGCTTGGGCCACAGTAAAGTGAGGAACATGGAACGGAAACAGGAGCATGGAAATAAAGCTCACCCAACACCAATTGACCTGGAAATCACTGCTTCTGAGAGACTGGATTCCTGGTGAAGACCAACTGAATCAGTTTTCTGAAGTTTCTGTGAATTTATTCCTAAGGACTTTTATGGATATCATGGTACACAAGAATTTTTCAATGCACAGGCAATTGAATTGACAAGATCAGATGCTAAATTAAAAGAAATTCTGTAAAAAAAAATTTTGTAATCCAGAAGTCAGTTAAGATTCTCTGCTTTTGAGATTCATGTGCGATTGGCTTGAACACCACGTGGAGTGGGAAGCACCTGGTTCTCTCTGCCCTCTTTCCTAATCACCAATGTTGCCAGCTCCCACTTCTGTTGAGTTTGTTTTATACATGGATCATCTCAATATCCAACAAATGTGCTTCCAGTTCTGTACCTCCTCAACTCTAATATGGAATTCAACCCTATGTTATATTTTACACATACACATACACATACCATATATTCACTCTTTTTTCTATAGTGGACTTTACTAAAAATTAGGAAGACAGGGAAATGTAAGTTGAGGCAAAACAAACAATTTAATATAGAACATTTGGCTTTCTTAAGCTTAAAATCTCTCTTGGCCATCAACTCCTGCTTTTGCCTCTGATTGAATGGAGCAATCAGCTATGGGCCGGTCAGTGTCACAATTGGCTCTAAAAAAACCTCAAAACTTTCATCTGTGGCATTTGCAATTTCTATCCATGGTGTGAATATTCCCCCTATGTCTGACTTCAAGCTGCCAACTAGACATCACTAACGATGGAATAGGGGACAAGATGTGCACAGCCAGCTCTTGCAATTTGGGGTGAGTGAGCTCCAACACCCCACTGGCTTCATGCGTACTTCCGCTTTTGTGGAAATACCCTCTACCTTTTGTCTCCAGATTTCTTCCATTTTCTAATAAGGGAAAATTAGATTTCCATTTGAATTGCTCTTCCTATCTAAACCCTGCCCTGGGGACTATGTTTTCAGACCCAAATAGTTCATTGCATTTTATTTATTTATATTTATTTATTTATTGCATTTTAGGTTTTGGGGTACATGTGAAGAACATGTAAGATTGTTGCATAGGTACACACATGGCAGTGTGATTTGCTGCCTTCCTCCCCATCACCTATATTGCATTTCTCCCCATGTTATCCCTCCCCAACTTCCCACCCCGCACTGTCCCTCCCCTATTTACCTCCCACAGACCCCAGTGTGTGGTGCTCCCCTGCATGTGTCCTTGTGTTCTCATTGTTCAGCACTATTGCATTCTATTTCTAAGTAAAGAAATTCAGAATAATTCTGGTGCTATTAGTGATTTTAACTTGGGAATAAATAATTTGTTACTGACCATGAAACTTTCTGAATCACCCTCTCTGAGTTACTGAACTCTTATGAGTTCTCTTGCTTTTGGATTCTGACACTTTTAAAAGAAACTGCATGTAACTTTTCTGTCTTTTACAAAAGATAATGTTCTCTTCAATATTGCAAAATTCTTGACGATAGGATTTGTACCTTATTCATTTTAATTCCCTGTAGTGTCTTGAGTAATACATTCACATAGTTGAAATTCAGTAATTAACTATTGAATTTAAAATCTGCAGACATTTATCAAGTGCATACTGTCCACTTTTTCTAGTGTTTAATAGTAACTCACCTAGAAAATACTTGGCAGATATTTATTGATTTAACCCTACAACAACATTTATTGAGTACTTCCTATTTAAAAGCACCGTGTTAGTAACTTCAGTCAAAGAAATGTAGCCAATTGTCCTTGCTTATAAGGAAGTGAAAACTAAAACAAAAGACAGGACGTATACCCAAGACCATAATGTTGGCACCTGCCACTCTTTCCTTTCCAAGTGAGTGTGATGAACGCTGTCTCAAGGAGTTTGAAAGAGGAAAAAATGGTTTAGAGTCTTTAGGTTTCACTAAGTACGTAAGATTTAGGCTTGAAAGAGTAGACTTAATGGAGCAGGAGAGAGGAAAAGGGAACATTTCTTAGTAGTGTGAAAGAGAGGTGAGAAAGTGCTGACTCGTTGGGGGGGGCGGGGTGGTTCAGTTACACTAGAGCGGAGGTTTTGAGTAGGCAGGTTGTAGAAGATAACATGAGACTACTAGAGGTTGATGACGTTGAGAATACCAGGGACCTAGTCTTGAATTTCCAACTCTGAAGAGATGAATTGTAGAGGTTGAGCCATGAGAGAAATGAAGAGATTGCAATATCCGAATTGTGTAACACATACAATCTGGTCTGTCATTAAGAGGCAAGAGGCATGAAATGGTTGCAATGATCATAAGTCATCAAGAGGAGATCTAGAGGGGCACCAAAAGACATAATCTGGAACAAAGTGGTTAGATGACTTTTTACAAAAATCCTATTGTTAGCACTTGGTAGCTGTTTTTGTCCTAGAGTAGCATAAAAACCAGAGAAGAACTGTGGACTCAATTCTGGAGAACTGGGTTGGAGAACTAATTATCAAATTTATATAGAATCTTATTTCCTATAATTAATTAATTGTAGAATTTGGATCAGGAGAATGACATCATATCTGGTATCTGGTAGCATTGTCTGGAGTATATGGAAAGCTGGGATCTTACTGGCATGATAGGATTGAAAAGCCAGATGAGGATTTTGACAGAAGCAATGAAAGAAAACAAGTGATGGATCATACAGAGGAAGGGATGACAGCCTTTGTGAGCAGAGTCTGCCTGACCTTTCTGAAGTAAACTGGGGCCAGGGAGTGGGAAGAGAGAAAAGTCATAGTCAGGAAATAACACACAATGATGCTTTTTGACAAATCAAAGAGCAGTAGATCACACTCTGAAGTTTCTGTAGTGCCCTAGAGTCTTTCAGGGAAAGCTGTAAGACCTCTTCATGATCAGCTGGCCTGGCTTTACTTTAGAACTGCCAACATCTTGAAAGATTTATCACTCTTTTCTTTTTTTTTTTTTGAGACAGAGTTTCGCTCTTATTACCCAGGCTGGAGTGCAATGGTGCGATCTCGGCTCACTGCAACCTCCGCCTCCTGGGTTCAGGCAATTCTCCTGCCTCAGCCTCCTGAGTAGCTGGGATTACAGGCACGCGCCACCATGCCCAGCTAATTTTTTGTGTTTTTAGTAGAGACAGGGTTGATCAGGATGGTCTCGATCTCTTGACCTCATGATCCACCCGCCTCGGCCTTCCAAAGTGCTGGGATTACAGGCTTGAGCCACCGCGCCTGGCCAGATTTATCACTCTTAACATATCAAACCTAGAAAGGGTACCAATGGTTCTGTATTTGTGTGAGTGAACGGTTGATTCATGAGTAGTTCTTTTTGCTTTCTGGTTTGTTTGTGTTTGCAGTGTTGGTCACCTCTGAAAATATATGTCCATTATTTATTCAATTGCTTTTTCAAATGGTCAGATTGGTATGATAAACTGAAGCCAGAGAGGGTTCCTGTACAGCAATCGTATAGTCAAGACTCAAGGAAACTAACCACATGCAGATATGGGGAAGTGTTTCCTCTTAGGGATAATGAGAAAAATGGTCATTTAGAAACCTGAAAGAGTTTATATGTCTCCCCCAGAGCCTCCTTTGGTATTATATGGCACTGGGGAGATTAGAGCCCAGGGTGTCTTGGGCAAGGACCAAAGTATGCAACTCAATAGACAAGCAATTTTCTCTTTCTTTTTAAAAATATTTTCCTGAATTTTATATTTTATTTTCCAGTTATTATATATCCAATTTCCCACTAGCTCACATTTTTATTTCTTTAAAATTCACACACTCTTGAGATTCCTAAGATAATAATAAATTGGAAACAGAGTATGATGGGTGGACATGCTGAAGATAAATGGAGTTTTCTTTTCCTATATTATATATTTACATGTTAATCTAATTTTGTACTTTATTCTCTGCTTCCACATTTACCCTTCTCTATTCTCTACAAAGTCACTACATGGCTTTCAAAACTTAAGTCAGGTTAGGGCCCTATCCTGTTTAAAACTCTCTAATAACTCTTTATCACACAGGGAATAACACACAAAGTCCCTTCTCTGGTCTTCAGGTTCTACTTGACCTTTCATGGCCAGTATTCACACTCACCTCCTGACCTCCTCCCCTTGCTTCCTGAGTCCTGCCATATGGCCTCTATCCTAAGGTCCCTTTAGCAGATTTTCATGTCTATCTTCTTTTATTCCCTTCCCAAATCTTCTCTTGAAGGTCTCCTTCACAGAGAATTCCTTCCTGACCACAGTCTTGAAAATAGCATTTGTGAGTGCCCTGTATCCCTTTGTATGTTGTGTTATCTTCAGGTGTCACTGAAAGTTAGCTAAACATGCATCCCAATGAAACATAACCTCCAAGAGGGCTTGTACATATGAGGTGGTTCATAAATATGTTGAACGAATGAATGCATTTAAATAATAACTCTTTTTCTATAGTTTTCGGATTGATGATCCTGCTGGATTGTATTCTATACATTATAAAATGTATAGCTGTCAATTGATTAATATTATTAAATATATATATATATTTAAAATTGACAGTGGCCATTAATTATGGGTAGGAAAATTGTTCATTGCAGCACTATTCACAATAGCAAAGACATGAAATAAACCTGAATGCCTATCATCAGTAGACTAGATAAAGAAAATGTGGTACATACACACCATGCAATAATACGCAGTCATAGAATGAGATCATATCCTTTGCAGCAACCTGCACGGAGCTGAGCAGGCCATTATCCTAAGCAGACTAACACAGGAACAGAAAACCAAATACCACATATTCTCACTTATAAGCAGGAACTAAACATTAAGGACACATAAACACAAAGAAGGGAACAATAGACACCGGGCCTGCTTGAGGGTGCAGGGTGAGAGGAGGGTGAGGACCAAAAAACTAACTCTTGGGTACTATACTTGTCACCAGTAGAGGGTCACGACTGCAAATTGTGCAGGTTCTTGGCATTTTGAACAAAGGATTGAACAAAGCACCCAGCAAAGCAAAGAAAGCATGACACATCAAAAGAATGAAAGCAGGGATTTATTGAAAATGAAAGTATACTCCACAGTGTGGGAGCGGGCCTGAGCAGCGGCTATAGAATCTTCTTGGGTCCAGATACCCCCTAGATATTTCCCATTGGCCACTTCATGCTCACCCCATGTAAATGAAGTGGTAGCCCACAGTTTGTCTGATTGGTTGCAGAAAGCAGCCAACCAGTGGCTGAAGTGAAGGTAAAGGTCATACTCCTGTGCAAATATCTGATTGGTTGCAAAAAAGCAGGGTGAAGTTACAAAGTTATACTTGTGTGCAAATGACAACTTGCCTGCAATCAGTCTGATTTGTTGCAGTCAGTCAGTTTCCCGTCTACTGCACAGAAAGGATGGAGGTTTGCAAAGGGAGTAGCCTCTGGTCCTTTTGTTACTTAGGCATGGAAAGTTAGGGTTGTCCTTTCAATTTAGTTCGAGGAAGTTGGTGTGAGACAGCCTTACGTTTCCTACCTCCAGACCCTGTTCTCCTGCGTTGTACTTATTACCCAGGTGATGAAATAATCAGTATACCAAACCCCTATGACGTGCAATTTACCTATATAACAAACCTGCACATGTGTCCCTGAACCTAAAATAAAAGTTAAAAATAAAATTAGTTGTCGCTATGTTGACACATTGTGGAGTTAGTCTACCAGTTTGACTTTCCTCGCTGTGCTGGAGAACATTAGGAGTGCTTTTGTTTTGTTTTTCTTTTAAGCTATACTTAGTAATGGGAACAAAAAATTCATTTTTAAAAACTTTTGTACAGCTATCATATTATAAAAATATTAATATGTTATGGTTGCCTCTGATGAAGTAAACAGCATCTGATAAAGGTCCATTGTTTTGAACAGCCGCCTGCTGTTAGCTTCTTGGTCCATTGCACATGTAAATGGGGATACACATAGACACATGCATCTCCTTCCACTGTGTCTAGTAAACATTAATTCATAATGCATTACCAACATTAAGCAGAAACTTTGGATCTCAGAAAGTTGATGATTTTCTCTATACTTTTATTTTCTAAGTAAAACAAATTGTTTAATTAAATACCTCATTGTTTCCTTTCCTTTACAGATAGAAGTCCTTATAGATTTGAGATTCTTTTCTGAAGCCTTTTATGAGATATCCCAGATTTTCTATGGAAGAAACATGCCTTGTTCAATACCTGCAGGCTATAAAGCTGCTGGAAAAATGAAGGTAACCTGACAATTTGATTCAAAGCAATTTCTTTGCCTGTGAGGGATACATTCCTAAAATGTAGGGAACACTCCCATGGAAGTATATTTACAATCTCTGTTATTCTAGACCTCTTTGTTAAGCCTGGTTACAACTAACATGAGGACTTTATGAGGTTTCATTTTTCTGGGTTGGAAGGGTGTCATGGAGGAGGGAGCATAGTTTTGGAGTAGATTTTTGCAATCAAATTCTGGCTCAGGGATGCTGCATGTTGCTTTTTATTACAGTTACCATGGGCAGTCTCACTAGGCACATCAATCAGCCACTACTACTTAGATTTTGGGTCTAACATTATAATTTCTGGTTAATATTTTTAATCAAAATAGTCTTTCCTTATATCTTATTTAGATCTCTTTGATTTTCATACTTTATACTAAAGTGTTAAGAATGTGTTCAAATTTCTTCTGATTTCTGTGAGGAGAGAACATTCCTCCATATTGTCTAACCTTTGTTGATTTTAGGAGACAGTTTTACCTGGCATGTTTAATTTGCATTTATAAACTGAATAATTGAAGCACCCTTGAAAATGAATACTGGAGTTGACGTTTAAAGCATAACTTAAATCAGAGTGAGCTGTTATTTTCCTGTTTTGGTCTTCATGGTGATCTGGGAAGCACTGGGTGATCATGCTTTAGGCAGATGCTTGGGCCCTCCCAGACCAGCAACAAAGGAAATGGGAGAAGGTAGCAAGTCGGTTTGCCTGGGAGAGAGTGTATGTGTGAGGAGTGAGACTGATAGGCACAATACCAACTGGTTGGATTCAGATTTGGAGGACCTAAAGTAACCTGGGGAATGGGCTATAAGTCTTGAAAACCACTAACATAAGCTGATATTATATTTACATATAGTATGATCATTACTTCAGAGTATTCCCCTAAAATGTACCTTCTTATTATTCTGTATGACTGCTATAGCGTTATAATTTATTGTAATATGGTGTGAGGCTATGCTCAGAAGATCCCAAGAGGGATGTGTATTAGGCAATAGGATACACACATGTACATGGTTATGTATGTATATACATCCATATGTATACATATATCTAGATACCCACAGAATGAGGGAAGAGAGAGAGACTGGAGTCAGATGGTTGACTATTCTGCTCATTTTCTGTGGCGTAAATTAATCATCTTCTTACCTGGATTAAATTAGCAACATTTTCTTGCTTCCTCTTCAGTTAATTACACTTTAATTAGTTGAAAAATATTTTTTGAGTGCTTACTGAATGCAGATGCCATTCCAGGCATGGGGATAGAGCAGTTGAAAGACAATGCAGGGGCTCTTGCTTTCCTGGAGCTTACAGTCCAGTGAGAAAGACAAACACTAAATAAGTTAAGCACATATGTATATGTCAAGTGGTGATACATGGCTGTCAAGGACAATCAAGCAGAGTTGAGGGGATGGAGAGTGACCAGGGCAGTGGGGTGCTGTTATATTCAGGGTGGTTTGGAGAATCTCTATAATAAGCAAGTTTTGAGGGAAGTGAGCCATGGAAAGATCTGAGGGAACAAACTTCCAAGTAGGAAGAGCTGCAAGGGCAGAGGTTCTAAAAGAGATGCTTGCAAGATGTGGTTGAGGAAAACCAAGTAGGAAAAGTGAGGCTGCAATAAGGAGGAGGAGAAAGAGAAGGAGGAGAAGGGACCTACGAGTCAGATCATGTAAGACCTCATAGGGCTTGATAAGGACTGGAATTTCTTCTAAATAAGATGGGAAACTATGCAGAGTTTTGAGCAGAGAAGTGACATGATAGGAATTAAATATGAAAGGACACTGTTTGCTATTTGGGAAGGGGCTGTGGGTGGGCAGGGGTATACATTGGGAGACTAGTTAGGAGGCTGTTGCAGATCATCTGAGTGGGGCATAATAGTGATTGTGAAGGGAGTGAACAGCAGTCCTGTTCTGGATGTGTTGTGAAGGTTCAGCTGGCTGCATTTGCTGATGATGGTTTGGATACAGGATGTATCTTTTCTCCTTTGGAGAAAGGAGGCAAGGAAGAATGTTCAACCTGAGCAACTGGTAGGAAGATGTTTTCATATACTGAGATGGGGAATGCTGCTCCAGGTAGGGGTTGAACATGTTAAGTATGAGATTCCCAGAAGACATCCAGGTGGAGACACTGCATAGGTAGGTGCAGATCATATAGGATCTGGAATTCAGGGGAGAGGTTGGGGTTGCAGGGACAAATTCGGGAACATTACAAGAGAGATTTAAAATCATGGAACTGGATGAAGTCAGCTGGAGATGAGGCAGATAGAGAAAAGTGGAAGTCGGAGGGCTAAATATTAGGGTCATTCACATTTAGAGTCCAGGAGGATGGGAAGAAAAGGGAAACCAGTTGGGTAGGATGAGAAACAAGAGAGGGTTTTCAATGGTCACTGCTTTCACTGGAAAAAATAAATAAAAGGTCAGAAACTAATTTTTACATGTAGATTCCAAACTCCATTTTTATCGACTAGTTTTCATAAGATAAATGTGTGGGTGAATCTATCTCCCAATAGATTCTGATTTCAGATTTCGTATTCTCAAAGTTAATTTGCAACTTTCCGGCTTCAGTTGGGAATTTAAAAAGTGTAATTAAAAGAGGAAATGCATTCAGGATTTATAATTAAAATAGGTGCCAATGTTATTAAGCTGCGGGCTAGTTATTTAAAGAAGGGATTAATGAATTAAGTTTCACTTGTAAAAGAAATAACTGAAAAAATCCTACAGATTACTGTTGAACTTTTCACAGGCCTTTAAAAAAATTTTATTTTTTAACATTATACCCATATTGGGATTCTGCTCTTATCACCAAATCTAAAGTCCCGTTATTAAACTCTCTTTAATTTATACCACCAAGGATTTCCCCTTGGATTCATTTACTTACTTTTCAGTATATTATGGGTAATAAAGAATATCTTCAATGAAGGGAAAAATTTTTTAAACACTTACCAATACTTTTTCAATAAAAGCTATCTGTGATGTATTGTTTTTTGGGGGGGTTCCCTCAAAAGCAGATCCTGAGACTAGGATTTGGGGACAATAGTGTCTTTGGGAAGTGATTCAAGGAAGTAAGGTAAGCAAGTAAGAAAGCTAGACTGGGAAGTGGGGAAAACCAATCCAGAGAGCACGAATGAGAAGGTCACTCATATGGGTAACTGGGGCTCTCAGAGAGACTGGGTAGAACACATCTGTTATTATTTGGTAAGATTTGTTCCCTGCACTTCTAGCCTTTGCTGAACATTATTATGGCCAGGCAAAGAGGTACAGGTGCTGCTCACAGTACATCTACCTGTGAGCAGCCTGTCCATGGAAGCGGTTGGCAACTTCCTGGTGACCAAGGGGGATGGGGGAGGGGCAGAGGACATCACTGTTGGATTTTACCAATGGGAACTTTTAAAAAGGGCCTTCTGTACCAAGAGAGATGCATCCTACTGGACATGTCAGTCTCCTATGGCAAATAACCTAAATATTTCCCAATGCAACATTATATTTAGAGCCAAATATGATAACAAGTAATACACCAAAAAAAGGGAAGAAACAACCACAAATATTTATTCTGAATAGCCACACAATTTTATCTCAAATGGGTAAAGATGTTTTTAAGTGATAATACTCAATGTTGTTAATAGTGCAGTAATTCTGACATTTTCATACAATGTGGGTGGGAGTGTAAATTGAGCCAGACTCAATTTTCTCAGAATATTCATATCTCTTGACCCAGAAATTCTGCTTCTAGGAATCTGTCCTAAGGCAACAATCAGAAATATAGACAAAATAGTCATCAGTGTTATTTAAACTAGGGCTGAATGATGGAATAATGATGGGGAAGTAGCTCCCTGAGATGTCCAGCAATATGAAGGAGGGTATTAGGCTATATTCATGGGATAGAATATCACCTACTAGTTAGACTGAAGTTTACAAATAACGGTATGGAAAGAAAATTATGATGCAATATTAGTGAACATGGAATATAAATCTATTTTTTTAATTTAAAAAGTGCATCAAAAAGAAGTAGGAAAAACGACTATACATTGTATTTCTTAAAGGAAGTTGACTTATGTATGATTTTTACTTTCTTTATACTATGTCTTTTCTGACTAGAGTGTATATTACTTTTTCAATAAAAATGATTAAAATTATTTTAGAACATATTGAATGTTTTATTTAAAAGAATACTCAAATAATCTTGTTCTTGCTGTTACTATTTTGTATTTTGATAGCTATTTCAATCATTTGACTCAGGGAAACCTCTTACCAGTAAAGAAAATATACAGGTAAGGATAATAATATTTTATAAACATGTTTTTCTAAGTGTGGATAATTTTTGAGTCATTCTAATCTATTTGGCTGATATACTCTTTGATTCTGAAAATCTGCTATATAATATTCTTTTTTTTTTTTTTTGAGACAGGGTTTCACTCTGTTACCCAAACTGGAGGGCAGTAGCACTACCATGGCTCACTGTAACCTCGACCTCTTGGAACTCGGTGGTCTTCCCACCTCAAACTCCCAAGTAGTTGTGAACACAAGAATGTGCCATCATATTTGGCTCATTTTTGTATTTTTTTGTAGAGACAGGGTCTCATCATGTTGCCCAGCCTGGTCTCAAACTCCTGGGCTCAAGCAATCCACCCTCCTTGGTCCCCCAAAGTGCTGGGATTACAGGCATGAGCCACCTTCTGGCCTTCTTTTCTATTTTTAGTAATGAGGTTTTATCTCAAAATTCTGAGATTAGAGGTAGGACTGGATCAAACTGATCTGGTTTTCAGGTTGGGCAAATAGCCGTTACTGAATCTATTTCTCAATTACGGATGTGTATTTAGTTTGTTCATCTGGCTGTGTGTGCCAAGAATCTCTAAACTTAATATTTATCTTGATTACCTAGAAAGTAATGACTGACTTTATAAGAAAAGGATTTTCTGCATTTTGCCATAGCCCACATATGCAATAGTTTTCACTCATACTATTTTCTTCCCAGCACTGAGATTGTCTGTGAGTCAGTGGTTTGGAATGTTTTCATTTGGCATTTCATAAGCAGCTCCTCTGGTTTCCCAGTATCTTTCACCAAAAGAGGATTCGACTGCCCATCTAAATATGTGAATAGTAGTATGTGAATATTTTGAAATAATAATTTAAAAAAATCTTAGGGGTATTGACAGTCTGTCTCTACTAGAAAATGTGAGAGCAGCAGAGCTGTGGCACAACCATTGCTAAAGGGGGGCTATGGATGGAGAAGGAGTTCATAGAACTAGGTGGCAGTTAATGCAGATAGATGCACATGCTTTTTATTTTTTTAACTGCTGGGAACAGCATTAAGCAAGATATATATTTTTAATTAAATAATTTTGAGAGATATTTCCTCAAAATTGCTTTATTTTTGTCTTCCATAATTTTAATAGGAATATATCTAACTTTTATTAAATGTAATCTTATTACTTTTCTATTACTGTGCATTTTATTCCACAGAGTTCACTTTTAATTATCCTTCAGATGATTCATTGTTTTTTTCTTTTTCCTAAAAATTTGTTTTAATTTATAAGCAATTTGCCTGAACTCATATTAGGAAGATAGAAATACATATTCATATTTCATTTTAGTGTTCCAAGACCTTGGGATATCTAAGAATATTTATTTCTTTTCCATCTTAAATGCCAGGGCATCCTAAAATACTTTCTTAGGGAGTGGTTTTTGGTATAAAAAGAATGTCTGTCTGATGATTTCTTCTTATGCAAAAGGAGACTAACAATATAATGGACACTCAGTTTCTATTAGCTAATTAGTTAAAACAGTACTGTTGGTCTGCTTAAGACTCTTCAGAGTACGCTTTATTTTTAATTTTTTTACATAAAGGGAAAGAAGGGAGTGTTAAATAGTATTACTAATTAATCTTCTTTTGATCCTCAAGTGTTTGTGTGTAATTGTCAAGGCTCATTAAATCACTGTTTGCTGTGGAGAGAAAAGAGAAGAGAAACCTTCTCCCAACCAGTCTGACGTTTCATGCTTCAAGCTCTTCCAAACAATGGAATTTTTTTTTGTTTACATAAGGCAGATAGTTTTTCTTCTTTTCTCCCCAAAATAGATAGCCCCAACATCTGCCTTATATATTAATTCTACAAATAAAAACAAGAGTCTATTGTGTGCAAGGCAAGAGGCTGCTAATCAACATTAGTTCTGATGCTGTCAATCAACATTAGTCAATCAACAATACAGACAAACTCTGAGCTCTTATGGAGCTTGTATTTTAATGGGCAAGACTAGTAATAACCATGATATATAAGTAAATATATAATAAATATGTAAATTATATAGTGCTTTAGAAGGAGAACCATGCTATGGGAGAAAATAAATGGAGCTATGCATAGAGGGAATTGAGAGCATGGGGCTATGTTGGAGATGGCAATTTTAAATGGGTAATCAGGTTAGTCTTTACTGAAGTGGCTTTTGTGAATAGACCTGAAACAGCTAACGGTGCAAGTCATATGAAATCTGGAGAAGGAACAATCTAAAAAGAGGGAAAGGTAAGTGCAAAGGCCCTGAGTCAAGATTGCCTAGCTTGGCGAGGGACATCTAAGCCAGTGTGGCTAGAGCTGGGTGAATGATGGGGAGCAGTAGGAGATAAGGTTAGAGAGGACAAATTGTGAAGGGATTGTAGGGCCATTGTAACTAGGCTATTACCTGAGCAAAATGAAGAGCCACTGGAGGCTTTTGAGCAGAAGTATGTCCTGATGGATTTATGCCATAAAGGGATTACTTTTCCTAATCCCTTGAGCCCACCATGTGCCAGGTACTGTTCTGATGCTGTCAATCAAACACATTAGGCAACCACAATACAAATTCCCAAACCTCAAAGAGCTTGCATTTTGTGTGTCTGTGTGTGTGCTGGAGTTAATGAGTTGAGAGATGTTGAGTTTGAGATACCTGTTAGGCATCCAAGTGGAAGAGTTGAGTCAGAAGTTGATTCTGTGAATTTGGAGTTCAGAAGAGAGGTTAGATTTACAGAGAAGCTGTGATTTCATCAGCCTTCAGATGAACCTAAAACCATGAGCCTGATTAAGATCACCTAAGGGGAGGGAGTGAGGAGAAAGGAGAGCAGGGTTCCAGGACAATCCGATATTAAGAGGTATAACAGCAGAAGAGGAAGCAGCAAGTTGGTTTAGTAGGAGCTGCGATTTTGCTAAAGAAGACAGAAAAGGAGAGGCCAGTAGGATAAGAAGGAAACCAAGGGAGTGTGGTGGCCTGAAAGCCAAGAGGAGAAAGCATGTTCAGAAAGAGTGGGTGATCAGTAGTATCAAACTTTGATGATGAATCAAGTATAATAATTCACTGAGTCTTAAACATGCATTTTTTTTACATTTAATGTCTCTGAAATCAGAATCCATTTTACAGTTGATGGCATGTGACAGTTTAATTGGCATATAAAATAATGACATCAGATCAGAAGACTGATAGTTGAACATTGGATTTAGCCAAGGGCAGGCCATCAGTGAACTTGACCAAAGGGTTAGGATGTAAGGATGGTGTGGGTTTAGGAGCAAACGAAAGTATAGAAACTAGAATTCTTTCAGAGTGTTACTGTGAAGAGGAGCAAAGAACAGGGTAGTGGCTGGATGGGGAAGTTGGGATACAGAGAGTTTTTGGATTATTAAAATGGAGGAGATGAAGCATGGCTGTGTGCTGATAGGAATGTTTTTGTAGAGAGTGGCATATTTATGATATAGGAAAGAATGGCTGAGTAGGCCATTGGAGGAAGGAACAATGGCCTAAATGGTGATGCTAGCCTTGGGTAGCAGAAAGGAAGGTAGAGCTGTGGGGGGCAGATACTCAGGTGTGTGAAACAGATGGAGAAGCATGCTCTACTCTGACTGCTTAAGTTTTCCTAGTGAAGTGGAGGAAGCAAGGTCACTGGCTGGGAAGAGAACAGGGAAGGAAGAGTTAGAATTTAGAGGAAAGAAAGACGTAAAATGGTTGTTTAAAAAAGAGAGTGAACGGACTGACAAAATGTCAAAATATTATCAGGCAGTGCTGAGGTTTGGTTGGGTACTTCACATGGGACTGTTTGTGTGGTTTGCCTGATTCTCTCCAGCCCTTATCCACCACAGGAATGCAGGCCCTAAGAGAGCTCAGTGTTGGATTTCAGAGTTGGAGCTGTGATTTTGCTAAGGAAGTGTGTTTGCTTAGGTGAGGACCCAGGAGGTTGAGCGTGTATACGGGAAGGGGTTCTAATGATTGACCATGGACTCTAAGCAGCGTAGGGAGATTGCTTGTCTGCCCATTTTTTCCTTTTCCTGTAGTAGTAGCCCTGATTACTCACACTATAGGAGAGTGGCCGATGTGTGTGGTGTGGCTAATGAGCTTTCAGTTTGTCTGTTTTGTTAAAGTATCCCATCCTTCACTCTGAGCACCAGGTTTACTCAGCCACAATGGCAGAGCTGGCCTCATGAGGCACAGGTCGGAAATTGGTGGGGAACTACAGAAGCGTTGTTGAACTGTTGAGATGGTTCTGATGTTACATGGCTCTCTCAATAGAACTCCCATTTATAATATCCCATGCCCAGCCCTATATCCCTTCATCCAACACCAAATGTGGATTGCAAAAGAATGAAGCTAATAATACCTGAAAAAAATTTTTCTCTAATTTGCTCTTTTTTCTTTTTTTTCATTTTTTAGGCAATTGATGAATTAAGAAATAAAGGCTTGCCTGCCATTCTGGTTACAATTGGCCAACCGCATCTCTTAAATAAGTTTTATTTTGTTAAAGCATACTTTTTCCTAAGTGTGGCTGCAACAATAAATTGTGTCCCAGAAAATAAACTGCAAACAGTAATTACTGACAGGAGCAAACCAAACCTACCAAACTTGAAAGGTAATTGTTTTATTTTTTGCTTATTTCCCTTTCTCCTTCCTATCCCTAACTACACTCACTGCCCCCACTAATCTATATAAGTGATCTAGTTTATATTCCTCCACAGTTTTCTCTATGCTCATATAATGAACACTTATATACTTATGTCTAGGTGTATGCACATATATATATCCATATTCATATACTGTATATATAATGCACTATCATATATTTACACATAGATGATAGAATTTATAATTTATTAACATAATTATAAATATATAATTTATTAACATAATTATAAATTTATAATTTATTATATTTGTAAATATGCCATTTTGTAAATAAATTATAAATTCTGTCATGTATGTGTAAATATATGATAGCGCATTATATTTTAAAATATTTGCATCTGGTATTTCCCATGCAGGAAAACGTCACTGAAATCACTCCAAGTCTACTGCTTTGCTTTGGTCCACTGTATTGACTGTATAGTATTCTAGGCCATGAACATCCCCCATGAATGCTCCTTGGAAACAAAGTGCATGTGCACCAGTAGAGGAAAGGCTGGATAAGAAGGAATGTGCACCTCCATTGCTGCACATGCACTTTGTTTCCAAGGAATATTGCTGCCGTGCTGCATTCCCACATGGCATAGTGTATCTTTCTATGGGGCATATACCCCATGGATGGGATTTATGGGCCATAGGGTAGTTTCCAATTGTATTAGAGGTTGCCTTAAAAATAGGTGATTTTCACTATTCAGTATGACGTTAACTGTGGGTTTTTCATAGATATCCTTTATCAGGTTGAGCAATTTCTCTGCTATTAGTTTATCAAGTGATTTTTATCACGAAAAGGTGTTGAATTTTATTAAATGCTCTATCTGCATCTATTGGGGTGATTGTGTGGTTCTTGCTTTTTATTCTATTGATATGGTGTGTTACATTAATTGATTTTTGGATGTTTAACCAGCCTTACATTCTTGGGATAAGTGCCACTTGATCATGGTTTATAATTTTTTTTATAAAATTTCACTCTTTCGTCCAGGCTGGAGTGCAGTGGTGTGAGCTTGGATTTAGCCAAGTGCAGGCCATCGGTGAACTTGACCAAAGGGTTAGGATGTGGGAATGGAGTGGGTTTAGGAGCTTGGCTCACTTCAATGTCTGCCTCTGGCTTCTAGTGATTTCCCTGCCTAAGCCTCCCAAGTAGCTGGGACAACAGGCACCTGCCACCATGCCCAGCTAATTTTTTGCATTTCCAGTAGAGACAGGGTTTCTATGTTGATGAGGCTGGTCTCAAACTCCTGACCTCAAGTGATCCGCCTGTCTCTGCCTCCCAAAGTGCTGGGATTACAGGTGTGAGCCACTGTGCTTGTCCTATAATTCTTTTTACCTGTTAGATTCTGTTTGCTAGCATTTTGTTGAAGACAATTGCATTCATACTCAATAGACATTGGTCTGTTGTTTTTCTTGTAGTGTCTTTGTCTAGTTTTGATATCAGAGTAATACTGAGGCCTCTAATTTAAAATGTAACTTTCACAATTCAGGTATGATGAGACCAACAGATCATATGACTGCCATTGAAAACAGTTACAGTTTCCAAGAGGAAGAGTGTGGCACACAGCAGTGGTAGACGGGCACTTGGGAGCTAGGCTGTGTCTCAGGAGGCAGAGGACAGTGGGAGGAAAACGTGAGCAAGAGCTTTTATTGTGGTTGCTATGCAAGTGGATAGGTAAGGCAGGGTGAACAGACTTAGTATCTGAATAATTTTATTTTAAATAATTTTAGAGAGCCCTGGAGGGGGGCTAACCATAGCCAAGACATGGAATCAACCTAAGTGTCCAGCAATGGATTAATGGATAAAGAAATATGATTAATGAAAAATATGATTAAAGAAAAATGAATTAATGGATAAAGAAATATAAAGAGACTTAGACTCTCTGGACTCCCACACAATAATAGTGGGAGACTTCAACATCAATATTAGATAGATCAATGAGACAGAAAATTAATAAGGATATTCAAGACTTGAACTCAGATCTGGAACAAGTAAATTTAATAAACATTTATAGAGCTCTCCACTTTAAATACACAAAATATATATTCTTGTCAGTACCACATCACACCTACTCATAGGTTTAAATGAAATATTGATCGGCCATTATTTAGCATAATTAATGGCATAAAAGAGGTTTTCAATGCCCATTTTTAAAATAAAACAATATTCCTGTTCTCTCTCCCTCTTTTTCTTCCTCCATCTTCCTCTCCTTCATTCCTTTTTTTCTTTCTTTCTCCCCTTCTAAAAAAAAAAAAAGAAAAAGAAATATGGTATATATACACAATGGAATATTATTCAGCCATAAAAAAGAATGAACTCCTGTCATTTGTAGCAACATCAATAGAACTGGAGGACATTATGTTAAGTGAAATAGGATATGATTCTTAATTCTCTGTTTTGTGCTACTGATTTTCCTGGCTTCCTGTGTTAATAAAATAGTTAATTTGATTTTATAACCGAAAAATATCTATTACCTCCTATGTTATTTGAGAATTGAGAATCTAACGGTGAAAATAAACACAAAAATACTCTCTTAAAACTTGTTATGCCTGGGTGCGGTGGCTCATGCCTGTAATCTCAGCACTTTGGGAGGCCGAGGCGGGTGGATCACGAGGTCAAGAGATCGAGACCATCCTGGTCAACATGGTGAAACCCCATCTCTACTAAAAATACAAAAAATTAGCTTGGCATGGTGGTACATGCCTGTAATCCCAGCTACTCAGGAGGCTGAGGCAGGAGAATTGCCTGAACCCAGGAGGCAGAGGTTGCAGTGAGCCGAGATCGCGCCATTGCATTCCAGCCTGGGCAACAAGAGCGAAACTCCGTCTCAAAAGAAAAAAACCACAAAAAACAAAAAACAACTTGTTATGATAGAAAAATACAGTAAATCAAATGAATAAAGGTATTGTGGGTTACATGGTAATGAGTGCTTTAGAAAGCAGAAAAGCAAGTCAGAGAGTACAGGAGTAGGTGTAATTTGAAATAGCGTTGTCAGGAAGAGTCTTACTGAACAGATGATATTTGAGGACATGTCTAAAAGAGGAAAGGGAATGAGATGTGAGTTTCTGAGGAAGCATATTCTAGGTAAAGTGAACAAATACTGAGACCCTGAGATGGGTGTGCCCCTGGCATGCTTGAGGAACAGCTGGAGCCCAGTGTGGCTGAAGCAGAGTGAACAAAGGTGAAAGTTCTAGGGAGATGCTGTCAAGGAGATAACAGAGTGATTATGGAAGGCTTTGAAGGTCATAATAAAAAGATTTGTCTTTTATTCTGAGTGAGTTGGAACATCATTGGAAAAGTTTTAAGAGGAAGAGCTAAAAGTTTCTAAAGCCTAACTCTGGTTTTTGTATTGAGACTAGGTTAGGCTATGGGGTTAGGGTACTAAAAGGGTGAATAATTGTGGAGTATAATCATATTTCTTTTTAGAAGGCTATTGAATTATTCAAGTTAGAGCTTATGATGGCTTCAATAGGAGTAGTAGCAGTGGAGGTGGTGAGAAGTAGCCAGATTCTGGATATGCCTTGAAGGTGGAATCAAAAAGATTTGAAATGGAAGACCAGAAGGTCACTTTGGGGTGTGTAATCCCAGCACTTTGGGAGACTGAGGCAGCTGGATCACTTGAGCTCAGGAGTTCAAGACTAGCCTGGGCAACATCTTTACAAAAAACCCCATCTTTACAAAAAATACAAAAATTAGCTGGGTGTGTTGGTGTGTGCCCATTGTCCTAGCTACTCAGGAGGCTGAGGTGAGAAGAAGGCTTGAGCCCAAGAGGTGAAGGTTGTAGTGTGAGATTGTGCCACTGCACTCCAGCCTGGGTGACAGAGCCAGACTGTGTCTCAAAATAAAATAAAATAAACCTAAAATTAATATTTAAACTAACCATAGATATCCTTGGTCCTTCCCAAATTTTGTGTCTTTATAGAGATAAACTCAAAAGATGATGGAGGTTCATTTTATCATCTTACGAACAATGAGGTCACTCTTAGCATGCTAAAGGTAAGTTTGAAACTGTTTTCAAACCATAGTAAGTTAGTTACCAAAATGCAGTATTAGTCCCTGGATGGGCCCGCTTTCAGAGTCATGCTTTCTCTTGTGAGAGCAGTTACCTTTTCTTGCATAAGAATGGGTTGAAGTCAGAGATGGAGTTTACTCCTCATGAGAAAAGTGAATGTCTAGTGGTGTCAGGTTTTGACTTCATAACCTGATTAAGGTGCTTCAGAAAATATGATTCATTATTTTCTGAATAGTGGTGGGATATGAGTATTCCATGGCCTGTTTATCATTTCCCAATAATAGTGATGACAATGGCAGCAACAGCTTTTGCATGACTATTTAATTTCTATAACTTTATGATGTAGGTAGTAACCATTTTTGAACTGTGCTGTGCTGAACCATTAGAAAACTGAGGGTTAGACAGTCTAAGAATTTGACTAACATCATACAACCAACAAAATACAGATCCAGGAGAAGGACTACATCTTTTTGATTCAAAATCTATGTTCTTAAACATTATACTAAATTGCCCTAATATTTCTATAATATTCACTGCTCTGCACAAATGCATTTTTAGAGGCCTGTCACTTGAAAGATGGGTCTTTATCTTCTGCCATGTCAGGTTGTTATTTACTATTGATTGTCTACTGTAAAATCTCATTATCTTCACATTACCAACTAGGTGACCATACTTTAACTTGAAATACAGTTGGTCTGCATTAGTCACAGATTCTATGTTTGCTAATTTGCAGATCCGCTGAAATTTATCTGTAATCTGAAAATCAATACTCTTGGCACTTAGTTGGCTATCCGTGAACACACACAGAGCATAAAAAAATTTGAGCTGCCTGATGCACGCATTCCCTGCTGAGATGAACAAGGAGATGCTCTGACTTTTTGTTGCCACCCTCGTACTGTAAACAAGTGTCCTTTTCATGATCTGTTTATTACCATGCCCTTTGCATTTTTGTCAATATTTACAATGACCCTCCAGCATAGTGCTAAAGTGCTGTAGAGCATTTCTAAGTGTAAGAATGCTGTGGTGTCCCTTATGGAGAAACTATGTGTGTCAGATAAACTTCCTTCAGATATGAATGCTATTGGCTGTGAGTTCAAGGTTAGTGAATTAACAGTATACTTGAAATATACTGTTATATATCCTTAGCCATAAGCACACATTGAACAAGGCTATGCATTGAGCAGTTAATGAAAATGTTGTGACCGGAGGCTCTGAGGTACTTTTCTCCATCTCCCCGAGGAGCAATGCTTCAGTATCCAGTAATCGGTGTTTGCAGCAACATAACCAGCTGTGTCTACAAAAAGCAGTCACTGTCATGCATGCTTATGCTTGCTTTTACTTTCCTTTTCATTTTCTTTTGGCTTTTTCCTTTTTGCTGAATTCTCTTCTCTGATGATTAAGTACAGAGTTCCTTTTTGGTCTTCCATTCATTGTTACTTTTCACTACATGAAAAATATTTGCTAAAGAAGGAGACATCATTTGTATTATTTTTGAACTCACATGATGTATGGTATCCTTTCCTTAGTCAACTTTACTAATGGAAGCTGAGGACAGACTAAACTTCCTTTTGTCGGAGGTGGAACATCCAGGGCTCAAGACCCTGTCTCAGTGCTCTGTTGGCGAGCTGGAGATTGTGGTGGAGGCCAGGCTTCAGCTGGCTGCAGTTGCTCTGCAGAGGCACCGGGCCGCATACAGGTGCGTCTGTCTATGCACCGGGGAGGGATACCTTGGAAGAGTTTCTTCACCCTAGTTTGTTAAAGGGACTTAAGTTTTATGTAAGTTTTAGAAATTCCTATATCCATAGCATACTTGGTTTTTATTAGTTAGGGAAGTTTCATACGTGATTACACTTAAAATTATAGTTCTGGCTGGCCATGGTGGCTCATGCCTTTAATCCTAGCACTTTGGGAGGCTGAAGTGGGGCAAATGACTTGAGATCAGGAGTTTGAGACCAGCCTGGCCAACATGGTGAAACCCTGTCTCTACTAAAAATACAGAAATTAACCAGGCATTGTGGGGGCGCCTGTGATCCCATCTACTCGGGAGGCTGAGGAAGGAGAATCACTTGAGCCCGGGAGACACATGTTGCAATGAGCCGAGATTGCACCACTGCACTCCAGCCTGGGTGACAGAGCAAGACTCTTGTCTCAAAAAAAAAAATATGGTTCTCAACAAAGAAATTATTTTATGAAGGCACACAGCTGGGTTGTTTAATTTCAATGTAGAATGAACAAATTAGCAATGCTTTGATTTTTTTATACAGTTTAATTTACTTTTTAAAAAGACCAAACCTTTTTACAAATAAAACCTATGGAGTGATTTTTTTTCTAAAACATTGAATTAAAATATTAAAAAACTCTTATTTTGAAAAAGTAACAGTTTTTGCATCATATTGCACTGAACTATTAAGCTGTTGTAGGTGGCTGATTATTTAAATGTGCTGTGGTTGTTATTGTCAGCTCTTTCATGTAGTTTGTTCATCGATTTATTTATTTAGTCAACCAGTATCTGTTAACTGGCTCATTGCCAGGCCCTGATCTAGGCACTAAAGATTTAAAGATGCATAGAATACAATTTATGTATCCATATGCTTACAGATATATAAGCAGTCAGGCAGAGTGGTAAAAATAATATTATAGTGATTTTTTTCATATTTAATAATATGGAAATCTACATTCAAGAATTTCCCCATGCCATTTGTGATAAACACTTCTATCATGAGGTCCTCTGACACATTCAATAATGATTCATCTAATAGTGATTCAATAATGATTCATTTAATAATGCACAAATTTCTTCTCATTCATTAATTTATTTAAAAATAATTTTGTGCACCTACAATGTGCTAGGCACTGTTCTAAGCTCCTGGGATAGATCAGTGGCCCAATATTCATATATACAATCTAGACAAAATATCCCTATATTCTAATAGATAGTAAACATGCTGTCAATAAACTATGAACACAGTTTAAATTGCAGAGTGTGGACAAAAATGACAAGTGCTATGGAGAATATAAGGAGTAGAGGTTGGAGGGGGAGGTGTTACCATTTTAAAATTGTGTAATAAAGAGTGTGACTCCATTTTGATGTTCAATGGCTGACAGCTTTTAATCCTGACCACTTCCCTTCTTCTGTCCCTCGCTTGAGCAAGCAGATAAGAAAGCCCAACTGTTCCTTTGGTTGGTGTTAGTGGGAAGTTTAAACCATGTAAGTCCCGGCCCACGTGCAGGAAGTCTTGCCCCAGTGCCACTTACCAACCACCATACAACTCCTAGCCAGTCTCTCTTCCTTGCTCTCTGCATACGTTTTCCTACCTGTTTGGGAATGTGCGCTGATCTTCTTGGAAGATCTCATTATGTGAGCAGTAGTCATACCCTCTTGATGTGGGTGTGTGGGAAATCAGTCTTGACATCTGAACCACATTTTGGGTGGTCAGGACAGCTTCATTGATGAAGTGACATCTGAACAAAGTACTTAAATGAGGAATTAACCATGAAAATATAGAGAAAGTGTTACAGGCCATGGGAACATGCCTGATACATGTTTGAGGGACAGCTCAAGGTCTCTTGTGGCTTGGGTGAAGTGAGTGAGGGGCAGAGTTGCAAGGGAGATCTCCAAAGAGGTGACTGGTGGATAAAGAGATTATAAAGGACCTTTTGGCCGGGTAAAGACTGACTTTTACTCTGAGTGAAGTGGGAAGTCACTGTAGAGTTTTGACCAGAGGAGTGATATGGTCTGATTTTTGTCGTAAAGGGATGGCTTTTGCTGTTAGGAGAATTGATTATAAGAGGAAACAGGTGTGAAAGCAAGGAGATGAATTAAGGAGGCTATTATAATAAGGGAAATATGGTGCAGTTCTTACCAGTGTGATAGCACTGGAGGTAATGAGAAGTCCTTGGGTTCTCAGTAAATTTTGAAGGTAGAGCCATTCGATTTACAGATATTGTATGTAAGTTGTGAGAAAAAGAGAGAAGTCAAAAAAGAAATGGTTATTAACTGAAATGGGGAGGTTGTGGGGGTGCAGCTTATTTAGGGGAAACATCAGGAGTTAAAATTCAGATATATATAGTCTGAGATATCCCTTAGATGTATAATTGAAGATGTCAAATATTCTGAGAGTCTTTAGAATATAGGCAGTGTTATTCAAATGTTCCCAGCATAAAGAAAAGATAATTGTGTAAGGTGATGGATATACCAATCGCCCCTATTTAATTATTATACAGTATATAATGTATCAAATATTACACATACCCTGGAAATATATCTATCAAGCATCAATAAAAAATACAATGATAAAAGTAATAGAAATTAAAAAATACAGTATAACAACTAAAAAAAATAAATAAAGGCAAAATTTTAATACTGAATAAGCTCCGTTAGGGATTATAAATAGAGAGAAAAGGACCAAGGACCAAACCCTGAGTTTTGTACTCCAGCTTTATGAGACTAGGGAGGAAATGAGAAACCAGCAAAGGAAACTGAGAAATGGCCAGTAAGATAGAAGAAAACTAAGAGATGATGGAATTCTGAAAGCCAAGTGAAGAAAGTGATCAAGGAGAATGGAGTGACCAACTGTGCCACAAACTTCTGATAGATTGAGTAAAGTAAGAATAGAGAGTTGACCACTGGATTCAGCATGGAGGCCAATGGTGACCTTCACAGAAGTAACCTTAGAAGATGCTTTGGAAAGTTCATGTTTAGAGTGGTTTATGAGAGAATGGCAAGAAAATTTGGAGCCCACAAATAAAGATGATTATTTGGAAGAGTTTTACTGTGAAGGAGAGGAGAGAGAGGGTGACTGCAGTTGGTAGAAGTAGGGTCAAGACAAAGTCTCTTGAGAGAGAGGGTAATGAAAAAGACCCAGTACAGAAAGCAAATGTGACATTCTGATATGATTGGCACACAGTAGGGTAGGAGCCCAGTCCAGTCCTCTTTTTCTCTAATACAGAATAAAGTTATCTTCTACCTTGGGGATACAGACTTTTTCCATCTGTTCTTCCAAATTTCAATTTGAATGGGGTTTAATGCATAGAATTTCATCTGGGGGCTAGCCAGGAGACTAGGTGCCTGCCAGGAACACAGATGGAAAAAGTCACCCAAGAGAAATCAGTTCCCCAGGCTGATGCCATTAGAAATTGTGGGGTCCAAATTGGCATGATCCATGAAATGCAGAAACCCCGAGAAATTAACTTAAAATGGTCCTGACATCATAGGGCTGGAACAGAGGCAAACCCTGAACAGTCTCATAGAGGTTAATTCAGGAAATGCAAGAGTCCTGTGGAAAATAACTCCCACCAAAGATAGCACAGAATCAAATACTATAAATCAAATGAAGAAACAGCCATAACAGAGAGTTAGCAGACACAATAAATGCAGACTTCACAGCCCAAGAAATAAACTGTTCAAAGATAGGATGGATAGAAGAGAATCTACAAAGCAACAACGAGACAACATAGAAAAGGAACAGATGAATTTGGAAAATTGCCAAATAGAAATTCTGTAAATGAAAAAATATAGCCACTGAATGAGAAAAGAAATGATCAAGTTGGATGAAAAATACTGTTTTTTCTCTCTTAATTTTTAAATTTATAATGAAATTCTATGCATTAAACCCCATTCAAATTGAAATTTGGAAGAACAGTTACATTTAAGACTTTTAGACTGCCATTCTCTTTAAATAGGAGAATTCCACTTCCGTGTTTCCCAAAGGGTAAATCAGTTCAGCAGAAATCCTCATTTGCTTTGGTTGGAAACATATAATCATCTCATCAGTATAAGCCTATAAGCTTTGACTGAAGGCTATTCCATGACTAATCACATCTAAGTCTAGATGACAGTAAAGGTGTTGGGAGATTTATATTTTTTTGTAGTTTCTAAGCAGTGATGAACATCTGTAAAGTATTCTCAAAGTGTGGTCTGCACATCTCTGGGGGTGTCTCCCAGACCCCTTGGGCATGGGGGGGGTCCCCATTTTTATTAACCATGTTAATAAAACTAAGACATCATCTGCCTTATTCACTATGTCGTTCACACTGATGCTACAGAAACAACAAGACTTCTGGTGCCTCACCATGAATCAAAGCAGCAGCCCCAAACTGTACTAGTAATCATTGCTGTCTTCACTGCTGCACACTTACACAATTAAAAAAATAATTCCAGTTTCACTTAAGATTGCCCTTGGTGATACTATGCAGCCATAGAAAAGGATGAGTTCATGTCCTTTGTAAGGACATGGATGAAGCTGGAAACTATCATTATCAACAAACTGACACAGAACACAGAACCAAACACCGCGTATTCTCACTCATAGGTGGGTGTTGAACAATGAAAACACATGGACATAGGGAGGGGAACATCACACACTGGGGTCTGTTGTGGGGGTGGGGAGACTGGGGAGGGATAGCATTAGGAGAAATACCTAATGTAGATGACAGGGCAATAGATGCAGCAAACTGCCATAGCATATATAGATCTACGTAACAAACCTGCATGTTTGGCACATGTACCCCAGAACTTAAAGTATAATAATAATAAAATTAGAGATTAAAATATAAATAAATAACTGCTATAAAAGCATAAGTTAAAAAAAAAAAGAATGCCCTTGGTGAAGCGGTAGAATCTTGTACTTATAAATCCTTATCCTTGGATATATATTTTTAACATCTTTTGGGAATATTATATGGGAAATATGTGTA